CTTGGTGTCGATCGTCGCATTCTTCAAATCAAGCTTGGCCAAGACCTGGCGTGAAAGTGAAAACCATTCAGTTAGCGCCAGGGTTCGACGTTCGACGCGTCAGCGTGCCCACCTGTTCAGTGGTGCCCTCGGCATATACGCGTGCCGTGTCCAGTTCAGTGTGGCCGTGACTGAAGAAGATGTCTAGGATTTCCTGACAGTCCTTCTCGCTGGACGTCCGCACTCCGTTCGTGCCCTCGAACCCCATGGTCATCGTCCCCTTTCCTCATACATATCAGCGCGATATTCAAAGGAAACATTCGAATTTCTTACAAAAAGAAGAGGTATGCGAGTCGACATGTTGGAAATAGAAACGTTAGAACTAACTGAGAAATATGTGTTGATGATGATAGTTTCAACAGAGTACTAGCCTCGTGCCAGACTTTGTTAGTTTCATACACCGGGCGTAGGAATATGGAATCCCGCTTTTCCTGATGGCTTCTTGTCATGTGTACAAGTCTATGGAAAGGCTACAGAAATAAGGCGAATTGACCTCATGATAGCATCTATAGATGAGATAATAAAATACTGCCTCATGTCCATCAAAAGCTATACAATTTACACAAGACGAGCGCTGCATGTACTTCTCACTACATTAGGGCATTATCAACATGTATAATGGATGCGAGCCAAGAGTAAGAAAGTAAAAAGACATCATTGTGAAGTTTAGTGTCCATGCCTCGAGTGTGAGGCTGAACCGTCGGGATTTGCCATCCCAGATACATTTGTGAGGTACGTTCCCCAGTCATTAAGCCTGTGCACTCATCAGCAGGGATTTGAATTAGCCCAAATGAGTGCGACTCACTCAAAACCAGTGGGAGCGTTGGACCACATGGCAATCGTGTCCGTGTCAAAACAGCTTGCCCCAGGATGCTGAAGTACATTGTGCTGATGCATGCCACCCATCAGACTCTGCAACCCCTGAGGGTCGTCACCATAAGGCGAGGAAGTGGAGGTCCCTGATTGATATTGCGCCGGATACTGGGTCATCTGCTCATAGAACATATCATCCACGCTGTACGCGGCAGGAACAGCGGCCTGCGAATAATCTTGAGGCAGGGTCACGTTTTGCATAGAAGTCTGCGTAGCGTGTGGTTGCACCGGATTCCCACCCCCGTGAGAATACCACATATTACTGTTAGATGAACCAAGCGATGCGGACGTGTTAGGGAAGCTCAGTGGTCCGTGGAGCGGTAGGCGCCCAAGATCATTGCTGTAGAGTGGAAGATCAAATGAGCTCAAGGGCTTCGAGCGAGCGTGGGCAGCTGCGTCGCGCCCGACACGGCGCGATCCTGCGATAGTACGGGGTACCTCTGATGGTGAAGTCGTAGGCGGAGCAGACATTGGACTACCTGAATCACGTTCACGCTTTGTTCCACCGGAGGGACTCGGCTGGGGCAGCGGAAGGTCACCGACGGATGCCAGTTCATACAGGATATCCCTTCCATATAGTTTGAGCCCTCTACCGAAAAAAGATCAAGACTGAAATGTACATACCACAGACGACCAGCAGTGTGCCAGCTATTAATTAATGAGAGACATTCTTCCGCAGTAAAAAAGTTGACAGACCGTTTTTCGCATGACTTCAGTATAGACATGCACTTATGCACATCTGCCATCTCCTTCGTAGGATCAGTATACAGTCCAGAGCGTTTTCCACCCCAGATATTCAGAAGCAAGACAATGCCTGCCGTGAACGCAGCCATCTAAAGTAACATTACGATGTACAGAGTATCAAAGGATCGAAATTCCTTGACGTACCTGTGAATAAGGCACCGGCTTACCAGATCGACATCGATATACATCCATGACGTGGCTGCAAGATCGAGCAGCATTTGTACAAATCGCCAAGGAAGGGAAAGATAAGGGAGATGGTTTTCGAGGTGACGGAATGAATGGGCGGTGGATGAGAATCTGGACATGATAGTAACTTGAATAGAGGGAATATGACTGCAGGAAAAAGTCATTAATCTGCATATTTGGATCCCATCTGACTTTAGGTTGTAGAATTTAGCAGCGGCAATAACGAAGTCCAAGCTAAGATACATACGGTGATCAGGAAGAGCGTCGATCCATTTATTAAGCGCAGAATCAAGCTCTGCAACTGTTTGTTGCTCCCATTGCTGCCCAACGAAGCCAAGCAGTACTTTCAGCTTGTTGATCGAATACTGCAGCACGTCATTAATCGGCAGTTCGTATGCGAGAAGTTACATACAATAGTGCGAAGGGCAAATGCGAGTATGTGGTTAAGCTTCAGGAAATTGATGAAGTGCGATATCAGAGAAGGTTTGCCAGGAGGCTGCTTGAACATTTGGTCCGGGTCCGGGTGCTCCCAGTATTCGTCATCACATTCGAGAGGCATGTCGAGATCGAAGCTATAATTTCGGTCAGCTTCATATCGTCATAGGGTGACGGAGATAGACCCACTCTTCATCCTGTATCGCACATGGTCGTCCCAACGATGAGCTCACCGATCGGTCTAAGCTGACTAGAACCCTGAGACAAAACATTGAGACGCAATGTGCTACGGTGAGTGACTCGAACCATACCAGAATGCACGTTTCCAAAGCTCCTCTTCGACAGTGGGCTTATTGCTGTAAGCCTTGCGGCGATGTGCACCAACATCCTGCGCAAGACGGATACCGACTCCAACGATGGTCCAACATGCCTGTGGGGCTGAAGTCCCCATCAAGTAAATCACAGATAACTAGGTGCGAGTTAGTAATTCAATAGAGGAGCGCTGGCTTGACACCTACACAATGCACTTGGAGGTCCTCCAGACGTGGTGGTCCAAGCAAGGTCTTCATGACCATCTGTACCTGTTCGAAAAACTTCCATCCCGACGAATGTTCGCTCTGACCTTCCAAACAGACGCGGCGATCTTCAGAGAAGCGCGAGCCTACGGCTAGGACCAACAAATATACCGCCCCAAATGACGTGTTTCGGCGGTGGAGCCCCTGGGCCACCTTGCACTCAAAGGTTGGCCGGTGCAACAGTGGAGTTAGAACATTATAGTGAGCAAAATAGAGGTCGACAAGGGAGGCAGCAAGATCTTCCTCAGGAAAGTTATAGGTCGGCTCAGCATCATTCTTCGCGGCCAGCTCCCACTTGATGAGATGTCAAATTTAGAAACAAAAGTTATGACCATACGCACAGGAAAGGTTCCACGAAACTCAGGTCGACCTTTGGGTTGCATGAGATTAGGAGGTTGAATATCTTCATCGCCGATGTACTCCTTTTTTAGGTCGATAGCTTTTTGCACGAGCATCACACCGCTTGATTTTCCAAAGAAACGGGATAAGTTCGGATTGATAGACATGTTCTGCATGTGATCAGCGAGGCGGACGGATACTATCTCGTCGTCATCGCTGGATACGAGATCTTCGAGAGGAGTGGTAGCATAGGGACTCATGACATGGCTGGTTGAGCCATTCATGTTGCCTTTTTGCCAGGCTTCCCTGTCCAAGGGACCGCCTCCGAGCTCCTGAGAGAAGTCGGCGTCAGGGCAGACCTGGGTTGGAGTGAGCGACGATCATGAAGAGTATCTGCGCAACAGACCGACCTTTTGCAGAAGCTTCTCCATCTTCTCCAAACGATTCTCCAGGCTCTCGACATATCTATGTAAAGTATCGTCTACGGTGAGTACCGTGGGTGGATGCGGGAAAGCCATTGCTTCACACGTACCCCTTTGGGGGACCTCGTTTCTAGGGCAGGGTGCATCAAGCGCCACTCGAGGAGATGACCGAGGGGGAGAGCGCACCTTTGCAGCCTCTATGTACGTACATTCAAAATTATACGCAATGCAATTGGAACATCGGTTCCCTGGCATCTGGCTTCCATCACCTTAAAGCGAGCGCCCCCAAAAAGTATAGCAAGAGAGTACATGGTCAATTTTACTACTGAGCAACCACCGGGGGGCGAGAGGTAATGAGGCTGACTCACATCGAACTGGATCAGAGGTTTAAAATTAACGGCGGCCTTGATGAATTCAAGACAAGTAGTGCTTACTCTTCTTGCGCCTACAAATGTCACACGCCCTTTGTACTCGTCGTTTTTTTGAGCCGGGCAAGGTTAGGGCATTATCGTGTTCATTGTACTCGTCTTCTGCGGATGACATGGTGGAATCGGGTTGAGCCCTTGCAAGCGGATACTGCTTGTGCTGTATCAGGGTTCACGTGGTACTGAGTGCGCGAGAGAAATAATGATATTAATGGAAACAGACTTAATTATAAGCCGATGGTATTCGTAACCCAGACGGCATGGGAGTACCGCGATCATACACGTACTTACTACTTAAATATTCAAATCGTTGGTTTTAAAGTCGGGCTGATCATTAACTTATCTGCAAATGTTTGATATTCATCAGACTACCGTTGGATACCGTCAGGAACAAACAAATCCAAACTTGGTTAATTATTTATTGAATTTAATATTACTAATGGATATTTCTCAACGTCACTGTCAAGGCGGGGTTAGATAGTGTTCACCTGATGAAACGTAGAGGAGTCCGCGGTTGAACACTCCATAGGGTAAGTAAGCTACTCCGCTGATAGATGATTCAGATCTCAGATCCTAGCGGTTTGAGCAACACAGGAAACCATACATAGCTGGGTGGTGCCTGGTCAGCTGGCGACACAATACATACATACAACCCAATCGGTCCCTAAATGGAAGAACCCCTTGTCATTAATATATGTACAACTTGGCGAGACACCCCAAGTATACCTACCCTACACACTATGAGTACATGAGGCAAGGGTTCGAAAGCAAATTGAACACAACACCCTAATCCATAGGAATAACTACATGGTAATTAAGGTGACTACTATTACAACGTAAATGGACAGCGAGGATGACGGAGGATGACGCGGACGGAGTGTGACATGCAAGTGCAAATTATGTGTGGGAGATGCAACGATACGACGAAGGTTGGGGGAAGCGCAGCATGAGAGTGAGTAAAACGCGCGGCAGACGAGGGAGGGAAACCGCGCCCTGCAGTATCAGTAGCATGTTCACCAGTGGAGCATGCGAGTACTAAAGTACGAAAGAAAAGACAGAGATAAACGCAACCGTGCCGCGTGATTAGAGGACAAGACGATGAGAAAAAACAGACCCCTTGACATATGCGAGAGACACCAGATTATAGAAGATCCACATGTTGGCAAAGTCCGGCAAGAAAATTACCACCCTGAGTAGTGGTAGTCGTCCGCCCAACTTCGATTTCGAGCCATTGCGCGTTGCCTGCGCTCATCCCTATCCTGAGCCTCAGCACTCTTGGTAGCGCTAGGATTCTCCCCGACCGAAGTCGTCGAAGCAAGCGGTCGCAACCCACCGAGTACGCCATTGTTCGTACGTCTCGCGTTTGCAGCTGGGTTGGTAGTACTGCTTACCTGCCGCTCCCACAATAGTTGCCTCCGCATGCTCTCTGACAGCTCAGTGCGAAGCATTATTCGCCGGGTTGTGCGCGGCGTCATGGGTAGCGCGGGAGCGGGAAGGTTATATGGATGACCGAGGGGTATAGGCGCCGTGGATTGTGCAGCAGGAGCGATATGATTCTCCACCACACATGTATGCGTATGTTGAGTCGCTTGCGATGCATTGCCGTTTTCCGGTGCGCGCCGCGATATTAGCGCTTGAAGCCTCTGCTGTGCTACACTCCGCGATACCTGGATCTTATCGTCCTCGTCATCGTTGTCATCGTCTTCACCGCTCTCATCTTCCATCTCTTCCTCCTTCGGGCGTCCCTTTGGCCTATACCCCCCTTTCTCGTTATCTGCCCCCTTCATTCCAGACGATGGGGGCTTCGAGCTCGACACAGCAGTAATTTGTGCAGCCAGGGGTAACGCCGCCGAACTTTTACTTGTCTGCAGCCTTGCAGGCCCCGCAAACCCACTAACACTCCTTTGTGGAGCATGCGCCTGCTCAGCTTGACGCTGTGCTTGCCGTTGCATCCGCACAAGATCCGCGGTTGAATGACTCAAGCGATACGGATGATTCGGCGGGAATATTGTAGGGTTGGGGTTCATGAGCTGAGAAAGTAACCCCGACTGTGTGCGATTGAGATTGGAGTACGAACGTTTGGGAACCTTTGCGAAGAGGTCACGTTGGCGCTGAGCCTCCAGTGCAGCCCCGCGTAGTCCAGTTTCCTCAGCTTCATGGGCTTTGTCCTCAGCGTCCATGTCCTCAGAGGCCCATCCAGAGTCATCCGCATCAGTGGTCTCGTAATCTTCCTCAGAAGTACTGGCGACAACGATGGTTTTCCGCTGTTGGGGACCCGTGCCGTTGCTTGCATTAGAAGCAGCATTGCCAACGCCGTTGGCGTTTCCGTTGACTACAGTGTTACCACTCGCAGTAGAAGGAGCCACGACCGGCCGCGCGGGCTTTACATTGATCGCCGTCATACCGTTGATCGCAGCGCCCAATCCAATAACCACAGGGACAGGTGGAGGCGGGGGAGGAGGAGTGAGCTTCGCCGAGCTCCCGTGAGCAGACTTGGACCCATTCGACGAGTTCGACCCGATATTAAACATCGCACGCGGTTTACTATCCTGATTCGAATGCTTGCGCTGAATCGAAGGCCCGATGTGCCTTGCGGAGTGGGTCCGTTTTGCCAAAGCCGGCCGGGCAGACGATCTCCCTAATTCCTTGCCCTTCTTTGGCCTAGTACTGGCACGATCTTTCTCTTTCAGCTCTTTCGTGACTTCTTTCTCAATATCAGTGCTGTGCATCTGACTGGAGGCCACGCTCGACGCATCGAACAAGTCAACGCGGCTCTTTCCGCTCTCCGTTGAGCCGTCGCATTCCGGGGATGCATCTTCAGGGCTCTGTTGTAGGAAAAACCTTCCAGAGACCTTCGAGGACTCGGCGCCTCGGACCGGGGCCAGGGATGGTAAAAGTCCGTCTGGTAGAGTTGACTGCGGGAGCGGCTGTTCCGCCTGCGCTTGACGTTTCATGGTTAGTGTAGGTGGGGGAAGCGGCGGTAGAAGGAACGTCGATGGTGGCTGTGAGGCACTAGTTCGTTCTTCACTGAGGGAGGGCGTCATCGGTGGAGTAGGTTGGGGCGTGGGGTTGACGACAACAACACGCGGAAAGTAAGCTTCTGTAGATGTAGGCGTCGAGGGAAGCTGAACGGAGGGGACGGTAGGTTGTTGAAACGAACGCGGCGATGGCGTCTTGTCGGGTATAAGAACATTATTTGGCAACATGTCTATTATTATTCGGCCAACAAACGAAGAAGATTTGGGGCGGAATGAAGTGCTGAGAGGCGGTGCTACGGGGGTGCCTGATGAGAATTGGGGTATGCACAGACGCTCAGGAACAACAGGGCTCGTTGTGGATGCAGGGGATGGAGGATGTTGATATATAGATGTCGAATGCGGGCAAGGGGGTGTGCCTACATGTGCGGAACACAAGGAGAACGCGAGATGAGCAAAGACGAAAAAGGAAATGATCCTCGGACATACCTAAAGGCTGGACTACCTCGACAGAGTCGGTAAGGGGGAAGAACGAGTTGCGGGTATCGGACGATACTGTGAGGTTCGAGATGGAATCCGGTGTAGGAGGTAGGTATGACTGCTGAGACAGAATAAGTTCACGGTGCCATAGCCTCCAAGAGATATTCTCAAGTCTCCGGCCATCCTGAAGTGACTCCTTGCACTTTGTGAAGACTAGAAAGAGAGTTAGAAAGCTGAGTGATGCATACAGGTAAAACTTACGAGTCCAGAGAGCTGAGAGGGCATCTTGCCCTTGAAGATCTTTCACTGCATCAGGCGTGACAGAGAGGACAGGTGCAGGGAAGGATGTGATCATGGAGATGGGGCAAAGTCAAGGACGTTGGAGGATACGAGTGCCGTTGGGGACTGTAATCAACGTTTGAAATCGCGAGAAGACCCTGGCTGCTAAAAATCCCAGTTGTTCTAGAATGAGGAATTCAGGGATTTCTGGAATTCAGTTTACCGGAGCAGATATCGGACCTGATAGATATCAAGCGCTGGTCTTAACACGCCCTTGCAAGGCCGTGTATGGTCTTGAAATGTAGGAAGAGAAGGATGTGAGAGAGAGCTACTTGAAGAGTGAGTTTCATTGAAACCACTTGTCCCGATTTGCACCTTGTGGCCCTGTGGGTTCCCGGTCCGACCGCCAGCACAACGACACCGGCCTCATGCCCTGACACCCCCGATTATCCTAATTTTTTTTAATATTTCCATCCCTACAACAACTCAGACTCAAATCTGAATCATGTGCATGGTCATCAGTTCACCTTTCCACGTAAATCGACAGCCAACTTTAATATTTGCCAGATCGTTCGTGACGACGCACTGCGGGGTTTATATTCACCGATTAAACTTTTTTAGCAAAACTGTTTGAACAAATTATTTTCACAAATTTTTATTTTATAGAAAGACGTGAGATCAAGACAGGAGAAACGGAACAAGTCGCAATTATGAGGACATCAGATAAGCCTCATACAGCAGCTATATCACTTGATATGGGCCAATATGAACCTAATATGCAACCACACGAAATGAAAGCGAAAGGGACGGACGGGCCTCAATTGACAACACGGCCGCATGCGAAGTTCAACGTCAATGCGAAATGTGGCTGACATTCAATGATTCGATATATCCGGCTTGCGAACGAATTGGCAGAATTAGTATATGTATGTACACTACGCTAACACGAGCTGCTTCTGGTGTTGGTCGGTAGCACCGGCGTTTGTAGTAATACTTTTGACCCTGAATTTCCGCGGATTCCAAGTGTGGGGTACATACTACGCGGGTAATAGCTCGGTCTGCTTCGGTGCGGAGAAACCCTTGACATACACGTAGATGCGGGGACAATCAACGATCAGGTGGACTTTGGCTTACCTCGGACTAGCGGTAGAACTCCGGCATCGGCATCTCATTTTTACAAGTTCCTTTCTCGAGGTGATATTTCAACCCGTTTGCGTTCAAGTACGTCTGTTTTCCATCAGGTTTCCCTTCTCATCTTCAATACGCCGAGACTAGACTTACTTTGGTGCAATCAGGACGCTAATCAGCGGAAATTAATGGGGCGACCATGTGGGCGTAATCAAATAATGCTTACGGGACAGTTATACGTCTTGTCTTTTTTTCGTAGACGAGGTCGATGGACCCGTTTTCCAGTGCGAACCGGCTTGCTCTTCACCTTGGTGAACGAGTTTTGTGGTAGAAATTCTTCTGAACTCGTCTCTACGGGACTGATCGGCTCTGAGATAGAGGGCGAAGACCAATCTGATACCGAATCGAAACAAAATTCCGGGTCAAGAAACGCCACTGGAGCCCTTGGTGCAGGATAACCCAACACAAAACTCATATAAGGTCCCTCGCTCTCGTGATCTAAAAAGCGCAGTATCGGGCTAGGGTTCGGGTACACAGCATTCCCGGCGCTGTCGAACACCACAACATGTGCTTCCTCAAAGTGATCCACCAATGAGTGAAGGTCTCTAAGGGACAACCCGCAACATGTGAAATCGGAGCACTGCGATATACGCGTCGCATCAGTCCCCACAATCAAAAATAGAGAATGAGCCTACAATAGTTTGTTCACGCTCAACGAATGGAGTGTCGTCGGACCATGGCGACAAGGAACGTGGCAATGATCCGGCATGTGCGGATATGGGCGGGGCATACTGAGACCATGGGTATCTGAGGTGTAATGGGTAAAAAAAACGTGATTTGTTAGCATCTCGGATCCAAGTCAAGGGTACGAGTATGGGTACTGAACGTTCTAGACTTACTGGATCTCTAGATGTTCGTAACTGTTCATGCCGGCAGACTTGAAATACGGGGACGACAGAGGAGATGAGAGCAGTTATGATGGGAGCAGGTGAGATTGACGCGAGCTGGTGTTGATCTGGGTAACTATATAATCACCACACTAGGGAGCCGCGGATCAGGTGTAATAGTAGCCCGCGGGGATCTAGCTAATTAGTTTACACAACGTCGAGTGGTCTACAAGAGAACAGATGAGTAAAGTGCTCTGGTCGACCTCGAAGGCTTGATCGATGGTGATAACAAGGAAGACTGTAAGTCGGCGTAAAAGAGGCCGTACATGGGACAAGAAGCTGATAAATTCAGGTTACAGGGGCACGGTAGCTAAGAAGGTTGGGAGTAGGCAATTAATTATAATGAAAACAAAATAGTAGAAAGTCACCAACGAGGATGAAATCAAGAGGAATGAATGGATGATTCTTGGCTTCGTTATCCATCTGGGCCATGGTGAAATTAACTTCTTTTCCTGATGTCGCATGCGCGTGTACATGATCGATGATCAGTGGTGCAGGCACCAATACGAGGGTGGTTGCTTCAATGGGATTTGCCAGTCCTTAGCATTCGGATGAGTCTAAGATCGATCGGACCGGAGCATGCCTACCAATGATATCCCAATCCCTGCATCACCTCTGCGATTCGATTCTGGCCTAGCCGTCCCTTGCAGGATCTGTGAGGTTATGAAATGGTGAGCTGCCAAGTATCAGGGCAGAAAGAGTCATGGAGACAGCATATTATTCATAAAGATGAGGGGAAAGTGATATCGTGAAGTAACTTGAAGAGAGCCGGGAGGATCTCGACTACACAGCGAGACGTCTCGCAGTCTGGGATTGTTCGCGACCATCGCTCTGCATCAAAATGGATTGTGGCGGAACACCAGTTGTGTGAGTGAGCATCAACGTTCGCATTGCTCTCCGTGCACTACTTATGTACACAAACAATTGATTTCAGACAGCTTGATCCTTAACGTCGCGGTAACGTATAGCGGCTAGACTCCCTAGCCAGCCTACAACAAGGACAAACAAACGCAAGTACTCATCAATAAATCCGGGCCTTCTGTCGTGCCCCCGGGCCGCCCTTGCTCTGCACCGAGGCTCGGCAGGGGTGGAGTGGCCCTTACACTTCGTTTCATATTTGCGAGGATGACAGTTCTTCCAGCAGCTGATACACCAATCCCCATCTTCACCACCCTGAAAGAAGTGTATGGCAGTCTCGCGACAGCAGCCAAACACGTGTGAGTCTGGGCTCTAGGAATTGTGTACTATTTTTTAATTCTTTTAGGTAGAGAACGCTGGGACGAGCTTGTCAGAGAATTTGAGACCAAGTTCGGGCACAAACCTACATATGTCGCCCGAGCCCCAGGCCGAGTCAAGTACGTTTACACTCTCCTTTTCCCACTGATGTTCATCGTTCCCCGTGTAACACAGCCTCATTGGTATGATATAATCTCATTAATATCCACAGTACAATGCGGTGCTTATTTATGGGATGCAGGTGAACACATAGATTATGCGGACTTTGGTGTTTTTCCAGCCGCTATAGAGCATGATATTCTCATTGCTTGTGCTTCGCGGCCAGCGTCTACCGCTGCTGCGCATCCTGAGGGTCATGCGCCAGGCTCTGTCGTAGCTGAGAACCTTCACACTCGTTACACACGCCAGGTCTTCTGGCCGACTCGCCGTCACACGCTTGGCGATGATGTTCCCCTTGACGCTGTGCGCGTCGCCCCCTGGCACTTGGACATCGATAAAAGCGAGCTACGATGGGAAAGTTATGTCAAGGCGGGATATTATGTATGTGTCTTTGCCCCTTTCGTGTCCCTTCTCCAGCTTTTGACGTTCCTTCGTTCCTCACCTTCACTTCAATTCTTCATGAGTTTTCATGTGCTAATTGTCGGGTATAGGGTGTTCTGAATCACTTCTTCTTTCCATCGTCCATATCCCCCGTCCCTGTCCCTGTTGACATTCTCGTAACTGGAAATGTTCCTCCTGGTTCTGGTCTTTCAAGCAGTGCAGCCATGGTCGTCTCGAGTACACTGGCATTTTTAGCAGTCAATGGTATTTTTGACGGGGAAAAGGCCCCAACCAAGGGTGAGCTGGTAAATATTGCAGTGGAAAATGAGAGACGAGTTGGGGTAAACAGTGGGGGGTGAGTGTCGCTATTTTCTGACAGCTTTGTGTTTTAAATTTGCCCCTCAATATCCACGCAACTAACCGCTCACTTTCTTTGCAGGATGGACCAATCAGCTTCCGTGATCGCTCTTCCTGGCAGTGCACTATATGTCTCCTTCGTGCCTTCCCTTCATGCGGAGCCAATCGTACTTCCGCGCGACGCCGTGTTTGTCTGTGCTAATAGGTACCGTAGCCAATTCACAGTCGTCCAAAACTTCCTGACAGATTTAATCTCGGCGACAGCCTAATCGTCTCCAATAAAGCAGAAAGCGCTAAACACCAATACAACCTCCGTGTTGCGGAGACCCTCGCAGCTGCCCGCCTCCTCTCTCATCGTCTCAATCTCCAAGTCGACTCCATAGACGGCGAAAACATGAAGCGGCACCTCGTCACCTTACGTGAAGTCCTCGCTCGGAAGAGCGGCTTCTATCGAGATGAGCAAGATGCACAGTTGGAAGATCTTGTGCAGCTCCAGAAAGGATTGGTGGACATGTTGGAAATTGCTATGGACTATTTGTTGCCAGAGTTTGGTGATAGAACAGACATCTCCCTAGATGAGATGATTGGTAAGAGTGGGATGGGTGAGGCAGAATTTAGGGAGTTGTATCTTTCGGGGGTGGACGGTGAGCTGTTTTTGATGGTGCCCATTTTATTCATCACTGACTTGATGCTCGTCCTGACATGTTTTGCTGTTTGAAAATTCATCAGTGGAGACAACTAACTTTGAGCTGTATCTCCGTGCTCGGCACGTTTTTGAAGAGGCGCTCAAAGTGCTCAAATTTAGGGAAGTCTGCTTAGCTGGAGGAGGTGCAGTTTTTTCCTTGGGTCCGTTTTGTGACAATCAAATAACACTATCTACACTCGACGATGCCGCTGATCGACATATCATCGCTCATCAACCCTTCAATCATCAGGCAACGAAGAATCCAAGCTCCAGACCCTCGGTAAACTGATGAACGAGTCGCACGACAGCTGCCACAGGCAATTCGACTGCTCCCATCCGAAAGTGAACGACCTCGTCCGTGTCGCGCGGAGCTTTGGGGAAGTGGACACAGGACGGGGAAAGGGGAGAATATATGGGAGTCGTATGACTGGTGCGTTCTGTTGCATACACCCCATTGGCCTCTGATTTTGATGCGCTCGAAGGCGCTGGCTGGGGTGGTTGCACCGTTTCTCTCGTACATCGAGACGATGTTGAAGCGTTTATCATGCACGTGAAAAAGAAATATGCGTCGTATGAGGGCATGAGCGAGGACGACCTTGCAAGCTGTGTATTTGCGACGGAGCCGGGGATGGGCGCGTGTGGTGATTTTTGATTTTGGTTTTGAGAATTCTTGGGTGTGCTGATGATGTTCCTTGGACAGTGTTCAAGTTAACAGATTGACCACCAGACTGGAAAGCCGGTCAGGCTCGATCACTATGCTGGTAGTCTTTTGATCGATGTCGATTTGAGAATAACACACGAAGGCACCACTCGGGTGTTGCCGAGAGGCTTGGGGAAGGATTGTACTTATTAGTTTTGGAACTACAGAACTTTGCCTTATGCCGGAGTGATGGTGTATGACTTGGCCTTGCAGTCTTTTCTCGGAATCAAAACATTCGAGCTATCGATCAATGCACACTGCATACCGTTTTCTCCTTTGAGTCTGTGCCTGCTAGTGATTTCGCTTAGTCCTTGCATGAATCGATATCCGAAACTACATAAATAGCTGACAAGTATAGCAACACTTCCGAAATCCAATACCCCATAGGACCATGTACGGTAAAAGCTGCAACAAATGCTCATCATCAAAGCGGCCGAAAGCACAAGCACAATCCCAGCAAAAATAGCATACACACCACTCGCCCGCTCAACTCCTCCAATACTGGGCTAAATCATGAATCCGATCTAGCACAACCGTGAAATACGAGGTCTCATTCAACAACGCCTCGAAATGCTTGATCGCCTCCTCCTCTGTCAAGTCCAACCGAAACTTCTCCTGGATCTGCTCATGCACGTCGCGGTGTTTGATGTCTGGAATGTTCGCGTCCACCATGAGCGCTACCAAGTTGAGAATGAGGTTGGCGCTTTTCCGGAGGATCGTAAATGCGGTGAAGCAGTAGTTTTTGAATCGCGCGTAGTGGGTCGATTGGGCTCCGCCCATGCCGTCGACCATCTCTTTGCAGACTTTGACGGGAGGAGGAAACGGCTTTGGGTCCCGACCGAGGATATACCCGAAATCGACTTCATCAAATGTCAGTAGCACGAAATATACGGACAAAGTTACACTGACCATGGAAAAAGTGACCTGTGAAGCCAATATTAAGAACTGGACCCTTCTGGTCATAATTCCACTTACCATCCGGTGTCAGTAAAAGGTTGTCCAAATGCCGATCACCTACGCCTAGAAGGTATGTCACAACGCAGTATCCAGCTATCACCAAGGCTTAGCGCACATCCTCCAGCCATGATTGCAGAACGAGACTCACCACAGCTGCGTACAAATGTATCAATAACACTCGGCTCGACTCCATACGTTCCAACGCTGCCCTCATCCGGATTGTTCGCTCTCAAATAGTTCAAGAGCGTCCCATTCTCACTGATAATTGCTGCGATAGTCTTGCTGGGGATAAACTGCACCATACCCTGCAACAGTCCGGTCGCCAGCACATCATAGGGGATGAGCTTCAGATCCAAATTCTCCTTCCTGAGCAACTGATCCATGAGCGTGAACAACTGGAGTACAAGCTGGTCCTGGCGCATGTCATCGCCATCTTTGAAAATCACAGGATACTCCGTGCCGTCAGAACACTGAAAATATAACAAGAAGGGGTAAAGATTCGACTTGAAGACCGAAGACTTTTCAGCAATGATGCCCGTAATCTCTATGCGTGCGTTGAGCGGCAGAGGTAGAGGAGGAATGTTGACGAGCCCGTTCTTGGAGTCGTTGATGAAGGAGCGAAGTTTCTCGATTTTTTTAGGTCGTGGGTCTTTAGAAGTGCGCAGCTCCTTGGCTCGTTTGGCGAGGGTCTCGACGAGGACGCCTTGGCGTCGCATGAGCTCGCGGCGTTCACTGCCATTCTCGGACTAAGGAACCGTTTTATGAGCGAAGGTAAACATGAATAGGAGGCCGATTACCTCTAAAATCTTGCTCAGAAACTTGAACACCACCCGCCCGTACATTTTCGCCACGACCCTATCCTCCAATTCCACTTCTACTATCAGATACCAATACAGCCGGTTACCCAGTGTATGGTTTTGCACTCCACGTGCGATCAAAAAGTCTGTCAGCCCGCTATCGTCATGAGATATTGCGCTTGTTGTCGAACGACTCGAGCGCTGCTCGCTAGCGGCACTTTCAAATTTGAGCGCCTGTACGAGTTGCAAGAGATATAACAGAAGTTCCTGCCAAGATCATCAGTGCCGCGATCAGGGAGGGAAAAGAAATATTTGACTTCGTCATCTGCGCGGTTAAGCTGCCGTACTGCAAACGCTCTTACTCTCGAGTCCACAGTTCCTGGTCCGAGGAGCTCCAAAGCATCATCGGTGTCGACCTCTGTCCACATTGGCAGTAGCTCCTCCACTGCTTGTTTGACTTCCGAAGGATCGCGCCAAGTGACAGACTTGAGGAATTTGGTAAGCCCGCGCTTGTCTCGTGCGAGGTAAAAACGAAACTTCCAGATGAGGTCTTTCTCCTCGGAGTTGAGAGGCTGAGAGGGCGCATAATTGAGTATTTCCTACAAATGGCGTGTGAGGAATTCATCAGTGCATAACGATCGGTGTTTTGCGCACATTAAGCTCATCTCTGATCTTGGCATTTGGTTTGAGCTCTCTGTCGTACGGACTACTTCGGTGACTCCGCACGAGTCGACGATGCTTGTCCTCCACGGGGTTTTCGCGTGCAATCTCGGGGTCAAGGATGGCCCAGAGGTGTGGATCTGTAGCAAAATAACTGGGAAGTACAGGTGTAAGAGGTGTTTGGGCTGCTACTGGAGGTGCAAATGGTATCGTCGCCTGATTCTGGGCCTCCTATAGAGAGTAAAACGTCAAGGAGACTACATTCAAGAAGAAGTGACTTACAGCTTCGCTGAATATCACGGGAAAGTCGAATCGTGGAAGGTCGACATAAAGATACATGTTTTCTGACTTCTCTGTCTCCACCTTCAGTCCTCTTTGAGTGTTTGCATTTGCATTTGATCGTAGAGGACTTACAGCGTGTATCTCCTCCATTTTTCTGAAAGCCATATTGTCTAACCAATCTGACTTTGGCAAGTCGCCACGTTCGTATTTCTTCACGAGCTGAGGGGAAAAGTCAGGTATGAACGAGCGTACCACAGAGCTGTCGTGCTGCCTACCTTCTCTAAACGACCCATTTCATCCCTGTTGCCAAGTTTACTGGGAGTTTTAGTCTGCATGGAGCCGTCTGCTTCTTGACCTGCCCAAAGCAACAAACGGTGTTTTCCCCGGCGCAAAGTCCTAATCCAGTGACCGCATGATAAGCATTGCGATGCAATTTAGATATACCTGGCAAACCATTTCTTTCCAAACATCCTAAACGTTGTGCCACCGACGGGCACCGCTGTGCGTGGAGCTCCGATATCCCATACAGTAAATGTTATCTGTGAACTCAATGGGAGGTCGCAGTACCGAACGGGTAACGTTATCCATTCGTTCCACCTGTATAAATAGTCAGATCAATCGAGATAAGGGCAAAACAAGGCGTACACATAGTTGTTCTTGAAAGCTTTGAAGGAAGTGCGGAAGGGTATGGTCAGCGGCTTGTTATCCGCCAGGAGCTGGCAGGAGACATAGAGGTCAGAAAAAGCCCTGACATTTGGGTCAACATAAAAAAGTTACATTATCAGAGAAAAACGCACGAAGATTGTGCACCGTGAAACCTCAGTTCTGGGTTCTCGAGTAGCTCTGAAACAGACGGTTGTGGTATTGATCCCTCTAACTGAGAACTAGTGCTGAGTGTGGGCAAGTGGCCCGCAAGATGAGTAATGGTGCGTACATGCGGAAAGTAACAGGGAGCTTGAGATCAGATAGCTTTGCAAAAGTGAAGTCGTCTCGGTTGTCCTTGTCCATGAAGAAAACGGCGAGCTTTTGGACTTACTAGACTAGTGGGAGGTATTATTCTGGCTTTGGTATTGAGATACTAAAGTGTTTATAACGCATTTGCACTTTCCTGACAAATTGAACTATCCCCCGAGGGTTCTTGATCTGTCGATTTCCCATGCCTCCTTCTTGTTGTCCTTTATTGTGTCCCTGCCGCGCACTTGCTGAGCACTCATGTCCTCCTGAACTTGCTCCTCATGATATAACTGTTTACCCTGTCTACTATGATATTCCTTCAATATCACCTCGCCACTTTGAAACTCCCGAATCATTTTCGCCTGGCTCTTAACCTCTGAATTTCTTTAACATCAGTTTCAACCCAGAGTGTTCCATGGCAAGTCGTAACATTTATTCAAGAATCACATCTGTACATTGTGCTCTCCGACATGGCATGTTTCGGGGCACTTTTAGTAACAAAATAAATAAGTAAGCTGAGTTAAAGCAGCTCCAATTCAACCACAATTTTATCTATTCAGGCTTGTAATCGGGACGCAGCGACCGCACAACCTTACCTGCTCGCCAAATTTCCTGGTCGTCGATCTCCTTCAGCTCTTTGGCAAGATCTTGGCGGTACGTCGAGCGGCCGTTAAATTCGAGAGCCTTGCGGGTCTCCGTGCCATTCCGCACACTCTCGTACAATTGCTCAAAGATAGGCGTGTTGGTCTTTTCAAAGATGGGTGCCCAATCAAGCGCACCGCGGCGAGCGGTTGTGGAGCAGGCATTGTACATGTAGTCCATGCTACAAACCATGAGGGAAAGGATAAGCGACCATAAAACATGCACTCACCCCTTCTCTCCAATCAAAGGGTACAGGGATTGGGTGGCCTCCTCGACGGTTTCATTGAAGGCTTCCGAAGGCGAGTGGCCATTGGCACGGAGTACCTTGTACTGCGCGCAGAACAGACCCTCTGATAAATAATCAGCTGGGAATAACTCGCGGTGTAAAACACTTACGGATGGCACCCAAGAGCACACCACGTTCACCATAGAGATCGGAGTAAACCTCCTTCTCAAAGGTGGTCTCGTACATGTATCCTGATCCGATAGCGACACCAATGGCAACAGCCTTTTCCATGGCTTTACCAGTGACATCTTGGAAGACGGCTACACTGGAGTTGATCCCACGACCCTCCTTGAAGAGGGTGCGTACGGTACGGCCAGATCCTTTAGGTGCGACTAGGATAACATCAACGTCCTTGGGGGGTATAACTTTTGTGTCTTCCTTGTATACAACAGAGAAACCGTGCGAGAAGTAGAGGGTCTTGCCCTTGGTGATCAGAGGTGCAATGATAGGCCACGTTTGTGACTGTGCAGCATCAGAGAGAAGGTTCATGATGATCGTGCCGCGGTTGATGGCTTCTTCGATAGGGAAAAGTGTTTCTCCAGGAATCTAACGATATATCGATGTTACATGAGGTGCCTGCAAGCCTGACAAGTCGACATGAACATACCCAGCCATCCTCCATAGCCTGCTGCCAACTTTCGCCATCTTTACGGACACCAATGATAACATTGAGGCCATTGTCACGAGCGTTCAAACCTTGACCGTGGCCTTGAGAACCATAGCCGATGAGAGCGAGGATATCATCCTTGAAGTAGTCTTGGAGCTTCGAGAGAGGCCAGTCGCTCCGCTCATACACAGCCTCCTCAGTGCCAGCAAAGTTGAGCGTCTTCATCAGTGAACAAATGATTGCTAGCCGTGGGAACCACAGAAGGATCTAATCTACTCCAGCCAAACATCATTACAACAGTTACCTAGCGTCCTGTCATAGACAGTCATACACCCCAAGAGGCATACCACCAGGGGCCGTGAACATAAATCCATCATCCAGTGGTAATCGCAAGCTCTGGAGCAGAGTCTGAGCAGAACACGATGCATAACTTGCGTCTCCAAGCCACATAAGCAATCCAAAAAACCAAATATGATAGGATCGACACTACCCGCATCATTGTCCTTGAACTTGATAGCAAACATGATTCCCAACGCCATTACTTCATCGAAAATATCCAGGAAGGATATCGAAATGATGAACCCTGGATCCCAGGACTCCACACTCTCGTCGTTAAAGCCCCTTCAGGCGTCCATTTTACCAATCGCTCCCACACGCAGATCATTCTCTACTAAACTACCAACTAAATCAAAAGCGTTGCATTCGCAACCTGCCATTTAACGGCATGCGCCGTATGACTATGTCCATGCAACAACGCGTCCACTTTACTCTCGCTCGTGAACGCCGAAAAGATATGGTTGGACGCGAGCGTTACTGACAAAGGCAACACACGGCATCGCCGGTGAGAATCTTGGTGTTTACTAAGATGTCAAGGTTGACACCAAGTAGAGGGCCCGTACTTTCGAATCCTAGGCGGTATAGCCCTACGAAGACTTCGCCGAAGATGACTGGAAGAGGTGTAGGAAATAGGGCGGGGTCGCAGACGATGTCGACCATGATGAGTTAGAATAATGGATCCACGAATATCATGCCTCCTGCATCGATTTGATGACAGGAGCTGCGAGTTTTCGAGTGTAGTCTACCCAGAGGCTACGCATGTGTTTATGTAGGTGTCGCCTATAGTGTTTTGCAAGAGGAGATTCAAGACGCTGCTTGACATCATAAACATGAAAGTGGTCCAACGAGATGATCTAGGAAAATTTTGTCCGTGCAGATATCTTTGTGGACAGTGAGTGCATTCGCGAGGGTTGATAGGACATAGAGTATTCCCCGAAGACGGGTCTGATCCTTTGTGAGGTATCGCAATCTACTTGCCACGAATTAACTTCTGCCTAAGAGAAGCAAACACACCAACAGTGCGAATGGGCATGAGATTGTGAACCAGAAAATAGCGATAATCTTAAGACGTTACGTGAGTACGAGATCCAAGCAACTTCCGGTAGTGACGCACATTAAACGCGACGAATCCGAAAACGATGCCAAGGTTATGCCAATGATTATCGTATGCTATGTTGAGCCTCGAGAACATGTACTGGTCTGTAGTCGTATAGGATAGTACTGGCAGCCTTCTGCAGCTTCGGGGTTCGTGAGATAACTGCCCGCGAATCGCATGAAGGTACCCATGTACTTGTCGCATATCAAACCCTTCGGTGGGTTGACAGAGACTAGTTCCGTGTAAGAGCAGCGAATAGCTTCTCCGCTAATGACTAAAATGTGTGTGGTTATCCAGCAAGATATCATTCGCAGACCTTGACCAAAGAGACCTTCGATGATATATGTGAAAGGAGAGACCTCGGTGCATCCATTTCCACCAATTGTGCCGTCACTGATGGGCTGTCGGTACGATGTAGCGTGGTTCAAAGCATGCATCTCACAAGATCAAGACAAAGATAATAAGAATTGTGAATTACAGGGATCCAATTGAAGTAGTCGGTGCCATGGACGCGATGACATGTCCAAGTATGGTATAGTACAACGGGATATCGACAGAGAGCATGAGGAACATGTAGCCTGCCAAACCTGTGGGGAATCCGATAGTCCAGTAACAGCAGAAAAAGAACATTGTAGGACTTGTCATGTTCCAAGGAAGCTCAGCAGCAAGCTGCGACACGACGAGAGCTGTCCAATGATACATTCTGCTAGAACGTTCACGAGAGTTTCGTACACTATACGAATGTCATGTAGACCGCCATGATTTGATGGACGAGGGAAATGCTGAGCACGAGGAAGATTGACTACCACGAAACACTTGCCGTTTCATGAGGTCTCTGAGTACCTGCTTGAGATCAGATGCTTGCTCATTTCCAATGGGGGAGGATATATCTGACGGTTTCTTGAGGAGTGAGGGAGTGCTTGCGTCTGAATTTAGGCCTAAAGGTAGATTGTGAAATGGAGCAGTAGCCTGGCTAACTGAGCAGTCAAGCAGTCCACTACTGGGGATGTGTTGTTTGCTTTGATGGAGAGCCATAACAACTTGAGGAACAAGTTTACGATAGACTGCAGGAACAACTTATAGAAGTGAAAAGGCTATCCACAGGTACATATGAGCGAGGTGCTCAGTTCGGTGAGTGAAACCCAACTCTTTTATAGTACATTGTTTACAAACCTACGTGTGCTAGTCCACGACCGAGCCACTGAGGTGTTGATGTTGAGAAGCATGCGTCTCGGGTGAAAGAGCCTTGACGTACCTGTTAGTCCGCCACCTAACACGGTAGAAATAAACCGAAAATGGAGGCCACATTGCGTTATAATAATCCCAGGTACATAATCAGTGTCAAAAGCAAGTCACAAGATCAACGTGTAATAAACTTACCCAGTGAGTATTATGTATTCAAACTAGTGTCGAAGTATAACAAGACCGGTCTGATGCCTCAAACAAAGTACTGTTCCAAGAACGTGGAACGAACGCCAGCTCCATCTTCACCCAGAAATCAGCTCTCAAGCCTGTTAATTCTATTCCCTGATTTGATAGCGAGAATAGTCTTGACTCTTGATTACATGACCCTGCGAGTGCAAGCTCGGAGCGAGGTGAAGAACCACGTTTGGATATTGGTATTGTCTATGGGGATAAGACGAATGTTTGTTTCCAAACCGATGATCGAGCCCCAATCTTGCCGGAACTGGGTATATTATGTGATGTCGATGTGAGATGATCTTAAACGCAAGGCGAACATGCAGAGACTTGACTGAGCTCTTCCAGTCAACTTCTGGTGGATTTCTTGCACTTGCCTGATACGCAAGGGTCGACCATGCTGTCGGCCGCTAGAGATCAAATCTAGGTAGATATGACGCCACCATTTTTCGATAGATAAAGATGGGTAGTGGGTTCTATAATTCTTCAGAATGCTTAGTAGTCTCCCCTAGAACCAAAGGCGAAAGGAGATGATGGTATGCTATACCTAGAATGGACAATTACAATTGGTTACACCGTTTATGTTCAACCCCAGAGGTGCATAGTGCAGAAGCTAAAATAAGTAATAAGAACGTTCCTGAATTGCAGAATTCACTGCCGCTGCCCTGCGGTGTCCTCCGAGTCCATGACGTTAAAAAGAACGCGAAACTTACCGCAAACTCGAGACCAAAGCTAAAAAGTCAGATAACAGAAAGAATAGCCGCCGCACTATGCCACATACGCCGTATGTTGTACCGTATCGTGGACACTAGAGTCAGTTTCAGTTAGACTGGTGACGGTGCAACCCGACAACGAGGCAAGCCGTCGATAGACGTTGAACTGGGTTTGAATTTGCATGAAATGAATGAATTGTTTCTACGCTCACATAAGCTCAGGGTGGAGTAGTCACGAGACCTGTAACCAATAAGAAAATTAAAAGTTTCGTTGAAATTAATGTTTGAATATTGAAATATTGACGCGAAACACCGTACGGTCAGCTTATGTCTAGGTCACCAGTTTCAGTTGCAGTGACCTTTACCCAACCCTTTACTTCAGGCTTCCCCGACCCCAAATTTAAAATATGAACGAAAATATGTCAGAAGTTGAGAAAATATTAACTTGACACTGATTTTTAGTCACGTGCTGTCGTCGCGACTGAGAGATAGTTCAATTAGTTGAACATCGTTGTCGTCTACTTTCCTCCCTTTCCATTTCATTATCTTTTTCGTTACTCCATTTCACCTCTTGATTTACATATTTGACGCGACATTCAAATAGACCCCTATCGGCACCCAAAATGATCCCTCCAGAGATCCAGGCCGCTGCCTGGGCATTTCTTCTAGACACGCTGCTTCGCATTTTCAGCGTGCATGTCACACAGACTTTGTACGCCCTCCCGTATCTCTCGCCCCATTTACTTCTCGGACCTAGTTCTGCTTATTCGCACTCGAAAAATGTCATGCTTCCAGAGGATTTGGCTCACTTTCAGCCATCACTTTCAATGTCAATAGCCACATCTTCTCCGGTCTCTTCACACGATACACCTACTACAACATTAACACCACTATCTCCAATCATGACATCTTGGGTTCTCGATCCGCTGGCGGAACCTAATCACGATTTCTGGTTTCACAATCCACCCCCAGGTGCCAGTGTACTACACCCATCGCAGAAGCGCACGCGCAACGCAATATTCTCTTCCTGGGTGCACCAGCAGGTACCCTCACCCGGCGAGAAGCAGCACAAAGCACTCGCCCCTTTCTCCCCGCGCATAATCACCTTCTGTCCTGTGCTGCTCTTCATCCGTTATGTGCTCACTTTGAGTGCAGCATACCTCATACTATCTGTGCGTTCTATACCCCTGAAGCCGCTCGCCTTAAACTGACACACCTCGGTGATATTTTCTGCATAGGTCCTCGCAATGCTCGTTGCTGCACCATTCGAACGGTCTTCGGAGGTTGTAGCTTGTGATGCACTGCTTGTCAACCCTGGTGTGGCGAGCCTTATGAGAAGGATATTTAAGATAATGACGCCAGGTGCTGAAATCGCTCAGTATATCGCGGCATTTCCCATGGCTCCCCTCCGTTGGTCATGGCCTATCATAAAAGAAGTGACATCCAAGCTCTGTCATTTTCTCCGCACTGGTACAGCACGCCTCGCCCAAATTCTAGTAGCGTGCTTCAGCAAAGTTGCGCACATGTCGTCTTGCGCTGCTCGTTACATTGCTATGTTCATGGTGACTGCACGGGAGTGTCCACTCTTCATAATTCACCAGTTTTACGCCTTGCTCACTACCTGCCTTTGCTGGATCTCAATGGGTATCAAGTCGATCTGCTATGTCGTGCAGAGGAAACCAGCCACGAAAGCACAAATTCCGATCATTACCATAACGCCTGCTGAGAACGAAGAGAAGAGCGCATGCAAGAGCGTCGATATTGCCGCACTGCTGGAGGAAATCGGTGATGGCACTACTAGACTCGAACTACTTCTGGGGGATGCAAACCTAAGTTCCGAAGATTGTCTCGAAGATGGCATTGTCGACGAGTCGCAGGTAGATGAACCCCTCCTCCATGCATCTTGTGTCCATGTCGGTGGTGAAGAGGAGCCTTTGGTTGTCGAACAGCACACCTCATTTGGCGGACAGAAAGTGCATACCAATTGTCCAGACCACGAGATCAGGCTAGACGCTCCTGACAATACCGTGCCTGGCGTGATCACCGGAAAACCTGAGGTTCACGTCATCTGTTCACGGGATTCTGGAGGCCTAGTGCCAGTAGTTAAAATCGAGGGTCCAGAAGCCTATTCGCCACTAGTGCCTTCCGGGGATGATGAAGCAACAGCGACAGCCTCAATTCCTTGCAAAGTAGGGTATCCTATTATCCGACTGACGCCAAAGGAAAAAGCTCCTGGTGAGCAGCCGACATACTCGGAAGGAGGCATCTACCGAAAGACTATTCCTGGCAGCGCCGAGCTTGGAGCTATGAAACGAGATGGTATCTATAATCAGCACGTTCTCAATTCGTGTATCATGATTGATGTTCCCGAACCGAAAGGTCCTAGCCATTGTCCAGGGACTAGGTCATCAGCGGATGAATCTCGTAGCGATCCAGCCGTGGAAAGCATGAAGCCTTGTAAGGCCGTCCAGTCCCCACTACCAGTGTATTCCTTGGCGCTTAGCCACAGCACGACCTCTGAGTCGTCATTAATCGTCCAGGGCGAGAATGAAAGGCGGTCTGACACTTCAACTGTTCTGCATCAAAAAAACAGCGATCAACGCGAAGACAACAGCCCCAAAATATGCTTGGCGCCAGGTAATGAAATGTTCATGCCCGAGGCGATTATGAAGACGAAGGAGTCAGCCTTTGCTTCCCCCTCTTCGGCTCCACGGAAGACGAACATGAAGGAGGGTAGTTTGTTTATGACGATACCGGAGGCTTCGATGTCTGGCGAATTTCCCTCTGTACAGCTGTCTGCCACACAAAGCGATCAACTGTCGACATCTCAGAACACCAAGGAATGCCCTCCAAGTATAAAGGAAGGCACTACTAAAATAGCGTCAGACGACAAACTTTATTCCACATTTAATTCCCATCTCGAAGGTCAGGAGCCAACCAGTGAGATATGGGATTTTCCAAAATCGGGAACAGACGCACCATTCCACCGGTTCTTGTCGGCATCCATGCACGCTCCTTCGGAACAGTCATCAGAACAGAATCATTGTATTGGGGGAGCCATCAAGTCCAGCCCCGCAATGCCCCAGTCAGGAAGACAGCAACACGTTCTCAACAAGAACTCCTTGAACAATCAGGCAGTGTCTTTCACACCGCAAGGCTTGGTTCTGAAAAGTACCTTGACAAGATATGACCCGCCTCTCCGACTCGTTGGACCAGGCCTGGAACAAGCTGACCACGCTTTGAATGCGAACCTCTCAAACCCTACCCATTCAAGGAAGTACATGGCTGATCTACCTGATCACATTGCGAAGGCATACAGACCGCAGCCCTTGCACTCTGCCGGAGCCTACGTGACTCATCGAAACGTTCCCCCTCGGATGACTGTTTCGGGTTCCAATTACATAACGAGTCACAGAGGTCCTTCAACTCGCGGGCCCGTCCCTGATTGGGCTGCTGAGGCTGCTGCGGAGCGAAGGTCTGTAGATATGCATATCTCCACTCCGAAAGTGTATCTGGGAACGCCAGCAGCCCGCGTGTCCTCGTTGCACCAGCCTTCAGGTACAACGCCACTACGTATGCCCATTCCAGAAGATATTCTCAGTCCAGCTCCCCAACGTGTCACATCCAAAGTGGCCAGATGGGCTGCCGAAGTAGACCGCGTGCGAGAGCCTGCAACGAGTCAAATTTTCGAGGGTTCTAGTCTCGATGCGCAGGTCAAGGGTTGTCGTCAGGGTGCTCAACAGAGGCCGCTCCTTCTGAACCGTAAAGCAAACACAACGTTATCGCGGGACGATACGCCAGCTGTTTTCCCAAGCACGTCTGGAGCTGCTTATCATGGTAAAGAAAAAGCGTCTTCCGAATTTGCAAAACGGGCCGTTGAAACGCGCGATAAAGAGCAAACAAAGTACGAGGATTTCCTATTAAAAATGTTCGACAAAGTATTTATAAGAATTTTAGGACTGTCCAGGGGCAGTACAACTCTTACTACGAATCCCTTTGTGCGAGGAACATGGAAGATATTATTTTAGAGGCGAGACGGATCAACGCGGATATGGGGAGGTCGGCTTCGACTCGACAATCTCCTACTACACTGAGCGACCTCAGCCTGAACGAGTGGTTTAGTCGGGCAAGGGATCCAATCTCGGGAGACGACATCGAGAGGATGATCCGTATACTCGAAAGGGGGGCCTGAGATGTAAACTTCCGATGGACCATGATTGCAGGTCTCGTCATTCCGAAGCCGTCATGATGGTTGGAAGAGCCTCATGCAACGAGCCTGTGAACAATACTACTAAGTGTCGGTGCGATTCTGCGTGTTTTACCCCCTTTTGTTTTGTATCAATGTAACTGTACCTTGAAAACAAATTGTATCAGCGTCCGTAATCCCACAAACCTCAGATCGATCTAAGGAAGTCGTTACTTCTCGTAAAGTGTTAGCATTGGGTTCGCAATAAGTAGAGTTCGAAGTTCCTTTTTTGGAAACATTCATACTCCGCCGTTGCTCGTCGAAACCTAGTCCGAGAGGCACGCGTACGCTGTCCAGCTCGACGTCAAGACTCATTTCAAGGCCCTTCCTGCCCGTCAAATCCTTGTGAGTACCGTTCGAGTCGTCTGGGCTGTATTAGGATGCAAAGAAGAGTGTCAGAAACTCTCTATGGCTGGATGAGCTACCTCCCAGTTGGATGACATGACTGACTCCAGTCTTCCTCAGCCGGACAAGTGCGAGATCATCATCGCAGTACGTTTGATTTCTATGAGCACTGTTCAACCCATTTCAACTCTTCCTCAGCTTCCCCATTTCATTCAATTAGCCCAGCATGATTATCACCAAACAAAACAGGCGCACCATCTACGAGAACCTCTTCAAGGGTGGGTTTTCAGCATACAGGCCTTGCGATGGTTTTCCAGAGCTCATTATCGATTGATCTCAGAGGGTGTTCTGGTCGCCAAGAAAGATTACAACGCGCCGAAGCATGAAGAACTTGATGTCCCTAACCTTCAGGTCATAAAGGCCATGCAGAGCCTGACCTCCAAGGGCTTCGTTAAGACCCAATTTTCGTGGCAGTGGTATTACTACGTTTTGACTCCTGAAGGTGTTGATTATCTCAGGGAGTGGTGCGTAGTCTTGTTATGTCGTATCTATCCGGACTCATGTATCAATAGGCTACACCTCCCCAACGAGATCGTCCCTTCGACTCACAAGCGGGCCGCTCGCCCTCCGCGCCCAGCAACTGTACGCCCTGGTGGTGGCGACGGTGCTTACCGCGCACCTCGCGGCGACCGCGATGATTACCGGAAGAAGGAGGGTGGTGCACCCGGCGATTACAGGCCATCATTCGCGGGTGTTGGTCGGGGTGCACCTAGAGATTAGGGTGTTGGCTGGTGCGAGGCGCTATAAGTTCGGTCAGAGTGCTAGAACTTGCATCCCTCGGTGATCGCAAAATTTTGTATGAGCATGTTCCATGCATGACTATACTATGCTTTCCTTCACGTTCCTTCTCATTTGTCCACTTCAACTTCAGGAACTAAACTCGCTACCATTCTCCAAATAACTCCACGACGTTGCGGATGTCCAGAGCAATTTCCTTATCCCTCATTACGCTCTCTCGAAATTCGACTATTTGCTTCGAAGAGGAACTGTGGTCTGCCGTTGATCAAATATTACCACCTGCTGTCATGAAGACGCACCTCGTCTTGCTGCAAGCCTTAGATCCGCTGACAAACACCTGAGACTGCATCGCCACCAACTTGTCTAGGATAAATGAAACTCCTGAGTCTTCCAGAATATCTTCTTCAAACTGAACGTTCCCTTCGAACATTCTCAACCTTTTTATCTGCGATGATAACTCAGTCATGGCATATCCCTCCAGATCACCACCTGTTTGGAATGCATCCTGAAGGATATTCATGGCTTCCTCATGCTCGGGCGTGACCACTCGAAAAGTCCCAGATCTCGCGTTCTTAGTCTTCACACCATTTGGCTGTTCTGAAAAGGTGTGGTAGTCGCTAGCGAACCAGACTAGCTGAGGCCCCGAGTCATCGTCGCCGAGCACTGAACGAAGAGTAGAGACGAGCGATGCCGCACACCACGCAAGGTTTTCTACCGGAACACGTTCTAGTTGCCAATGCACCGCAATATAGGATCCTGTGAAGCCTGCTAATCTTTCTGCAAGCTCAACAAGCGCATGAGAGTATTGCAGGTCTATGTTGGGCTCAGGGAAGATTCGGTGGCGTAGATCCCATTCGATGGCTAACACATCAGATCTCGGAAGCGCGGCAAGTTCGTCTGAGAAATATTCCACGGAATCCACAGCCTCTGAGAGAATTTGGATAAGATGCTGGCTTGTCGATGGATTGTTGCGGTAGAACTTGAAGGAAATTATAGAGGAACTTTGGTAAAGTCTAGGAAATTTGGAGTTTAGGCAGGAAGCGGCTTTGTGATCCGCAAGACCATGATCGATGGTGAAATGGTCGTCAGGCAGTAAATCTCGTTCGCCACTTTTGCTGACGCTGAAAGAGATGGTTCTGCTTGTAGGTAAGATGGAACGTGTTTCGCTCCAATTGTCAAATACAGTGAAAGGCAAAATGTTGATAGCGGGGAGGGCGCTTCTGAGCAGGTCCACGTCGTAATATAAATCAAACGGCCATTTGGAACAAGCCCCCATGCGATTGTTGCCTACATTCGGGAGAACAAGAGTGCGATTCAAGCTACTTGCAAGAATAGCTAGTTGGTGGAGGTGCAGCGGTTCTTGCTCAGCGATACGAAGGGGAAGAAGGAAGCGACAGGGGAATGAACCACAAACTGATTCGTCAAATTGGACTGCGTCAGCCGACAGTATACTAGGAACGTGAACGATTGTATGTTCAAGTTCTGAAATATCTTTAGGCTCAGGAATTCTGGTGACAATCGGGGGCCATTTGAGATGGGGTCGCGTGACTGTTGAGGGAGATAGATCGTGGTGATCACTGGGTTCGTGGATATCATGAAGGACATGAAGGACGGTTCGATCAACAATTTTTGGTGACGGTGAACGTACTCGAGTTGGACCTATTCCGAAATCTGTGGTGTTCGGTGGAGTAGGTGACGTCCCTGTACGTCGCGACACCGATTTCGACAGCGAGACATAAAGACTGCCAAACATGATAATTGCAACAATGATGAGAGCAACAAACTGTAAAAAGTTGGACGGCAGACTCGGATGAGTTGGACTACGATACCGCTGTTTGAGCTTTGGAGACAGCGAACGCGATGGGGAATCTGTCGTTTCTCGCGAGCGTTTTGACCTTTTGAGAGGTTGATACATGGTTGAAGTACCAAGGCAAGGTCACAGTTCAAGTTGTAGCAATGGGAGGCTCCACTAGTAGGAGTCAGAAACTTCCACAACTTGAACAGGAGCGAAACATCTTAAAAATATGTCAATAAACCGAATGTATGCGGTAGGCTCAGATCCTGAAAGTATGCGAATAAGGGTATTATATATTCTACAAATCTATAGGTAAGGTACCAAGGATATATAGTCCGGCGGACAACCTTGACATGCTCATCGTCAGAACAACGCTCCATACTACTTCAATCCACACACCTAATTCCTTTTATTCTTGGGGTTGCGCTCATACGCATTACCACTCGAGCCCGCTTCTTCTACTTCATGAATCACCCCCCTGTTACTAGGGGCGTCACGCGTAGCAAGTCCATCGCTGTGCCCGTTTCCTTCTGGATGATGCATCCTTCTCTGACGCGGGCAATTACTATGCTGCTGGCAGTCTGAATCAGAGTCTGACTCAGATGATTCCTCTTCAGATGATTCGTCAAACCGTCGAGGTTTGTGGTATATACAGCAGACTACGGGGGTGGTCGAGTCAACACCGCCACAAGAATTCGAGACTCGACACACTCACTCTTTGACTTTTTCTTTCCGCATCCCTCATTGTCAATAACGTCTTCATCCCATGCAACTCGCTGACGAGTTTTGCGTGGTTCACCCCGTAATCTAAGAGTTCCCACAACCTCAGGCTGACTAGCGTCATCTTCTGGACGTGGCTGCGAATCGTGTAGCGTAATCGTCCTGGATCCATCAGCGGGCGCAGATGTGCGTGTCCTTCCCTGAGCAGTCATCATTGATTAGGGACAATGTTACTTTCAGTAAGTTGGAAGAAATGGGAAGGATCAAAGTGTTGTCCATCTATGAATTTACATAAGCAGGCGGTACTGTTCCATAAACTTCCAGTGACATCATGGCCACTCTGGAGCGGCTTTCAATATTCAAGTTTCAAATGTATTGAGTGATAATCATTAAATCGACATGCAGTACAATTACAACATAACATGAAATCGTGAGGTATGATGGGTTGTAATGATGCGACGTAAATAGTACAAATTGTCCGAACACGATGCAGCGGAACGAAAATATGCTGGTCATGCAACGATCCACGTTGCCAAAAGATAATCATAAGTCATGAAGGCGATGATCTTAGATTAGCCATAAACGACCCTAAGATACGATCCGGTTAGTTTCACGGTCCGATCCATCAAACTTTGACTACTTACCCCCTGGCGGTCGTGGATATAGGTTTGAAATCTGTTCGGCCAGATTCAACGAAATGGCGGAGGACTTCCGCCCAATCGTCTCGTGGATCCCACGAGATTTTACTAGGTGGGTCGACTTCCACAGGCATAACTTGAGAAATGCCACCACACTGCACGAGTATAACAAGGGTTCCAATTCCCCCACTGCGTCGACAGCGTTCTTCTCGTCGGCTGATATCAGCGGCTACGAGTGGATCATGGCTGGTTACGAATGTCCGAGAGACTATATGCGTATTTGCCACTGAGAAACTGCGTGTCCGGCGGAATCAGTATAAATTATCCCCACTAAGTCCGGCGACACTAGAACTTACCGATATAATGATTCGGCGTGAGCATTGTAGCTCAGCTCGATAAGCAACGCACTTTGCCGGATATTGGCAGGCAGGCGCTTTAATTGAAGGGCTTGGAAGCCGGCCCATCCGAGAAGTGAAGAGTGTGTTGAGGTAAACTTGCGAAGGTACTTCGCCAAATTTTCATCAGGATATGCAGGCCCGATGGCCTGCTGTTTTGCACCTGACATCTGAGCAGCGGTGTGCTGACAGATGGTCTTATGAGAAGGCCAATGCGATTTTTGGCACTCGGTGGACTACAATATAGGGTTAGAAAATGTCATGCTAGTGGAGACTGAGTAGCTTACACAATACTGGGTGGTCATCTATGGAAAGATAACGATGTGGTTAGGGGGGATGATGATCGAAGGGAAGGGAAGGGACTTACACAACCACCGCAGAGTCTAAACTTCTGGGCAACTGGGTTTTCAACTGCACCGCAAGTATCGCAGATGCGATAGCCACGTTGCTTCTGGTGTGCATGGGGAGGAGCGGAATAGTAGTTGGCTGCTGCTGGTGCCATTGTAGTAAGAATGTAATATGAATAGCTCGGATACTAGTTGGTTAACCTCTACCATGATTGTCTGGCGTGTTTTATAGCTGAAAGAGTTGATGTGTATGTCCATCTTGGGCGAGCGTGTCAAGAAGTTATTGCGATCTTGGTGGAGAACAAAAAGTAGGTCTGGTGCTTTTTGTCTTCAATGTATCTGAAAGTAAGACCCGGCAAGGCCTTTTGTGTCTGTAGTCAAGGAATAGATGCGGATATGCGAAAACAGTGCTTCCTAAATGCCCAATAACAATAAAGCAATGAGAAACTGAAATCAGTGACTGATAATCTAGAGAGCAAGACAATTAGCTCAGAAAGGAAATGAAGCGAGAGGAAAAGTGTTTGTGTTTATTTGTTATAATACATTTTTGGATATGCCGTTAGTGCTAATTGTTGGTTCACGGTGGGGGCATGATTCGTTGTAAAATATTACATGGAACGTCTTCTCACAACTTTGACAGCAGATCCGATCGACCCTCCGACCAAAATATCATATCGAACACTTGCGCCCAACTAATCTAGCAACTTCAAAGGAGACCTTTTAGCCGCAATCTCGGACACGAGGCACGGATGGATCCTGTCCAGTGTTTGAACTGGTTAGCTCTTGCCAAAAACTCGTAAGGATTTCACAGCACTCCGTGAACCATATCGCAATTAGCCTTCGGCTACTCCTTGAACCTTATTGCTTTGTCCTGTGCTCTCTTGGGCGCCATCTTTTCGTTTTTTCCATCTCTTCGTAATCATCTATTAGGCGACCGACTCGGAAATGAAACCCTGTTCAAGGTTCTTGCGAGAAACTCCGGCTCTAAGCAATCGGACAATCATGCTCTGTTCACGGGCGTCTCTTCTCGTCACCACCCATATCGTTAAACGGCATCTACTCGAGAGCACTTAAGAATGACATCAATTGACGTCGGCATGGCACCTTTTGTATCCTCCGAATGGGTTCTGTGATCTGGATCAGAGTCTACCTCTATCAAAAGGTTGTCAGTCTTCGATGCAGTGCAAGCAGCTTACCAGAGCCACTCCTTTGTATCGATGTTCTATATCTAGGTGCTTTCCTCTTGGCTACCCGTCCTGGTATATGAATGGTCATGCTTGCTATCAGGAGCGGGACCGACTGACCAACGGTATGCCAACCATTATTATTCTGAAATCTTCAGTGTGCGAGTTCAGTTACGATTTCGATTTCCTAGAATCGTTCGACATCGACGCTCTAGGCGCGATCTCTTTAACGGAAAGATCCCGTCACAGTCAGCGGCTTTAGAAGGGCTTACATGTAGGCTTATGACCAACCTGGCTCCTGCTCCACGGATAAGTCGTGACTACGTCACACCTTTCGCTCCAGTCAAACTAGTGCCGAGCCCAGGTTTGTGGTGTTGCTGTCGTGTCGTCATTTTTCTGGAGTGCCAGTGCCAGAGATCCCTGACAATATGTTCTCTATCCGTAACTATGGCCGGCTAACTGATATACTCTGGTATGGAAATTGCACCAAGAGCTCTAAAGGCACTTCTCAATGTGGTACATTCATTTGCTGATACTATGACGTAGGACACGATGAGAAAGCAAGAATCTTGCTTTGTTACTGTAACCGCCCAATGCCCCACAATGCTCGACCTCGGTAATAAGTATTGATGGAAGACACTCAACCACAAGTCCGACACATAAGTAAGCCCATATAATTTAGGAAGAGATACTGATCGAACAATCTATCATTGTGTTGTTTGTCTAAGGGAGGATAATTGAACATACAAACCAATTAAAGTGGGCATGTTGCCATACAGGAGAAAGAATTAGCGAATCAGCATAATGACCAATAAGTTGAACAAATGCATAAATGCCGATGCTCATGTTGTTCCAGGATCCCAGATCTAACACGGTCTACAACGTAGGCTCCACGACTGCCTCGGCAGTTTTGTCCCTCACGTCTTTGAGGAAGCGTACTAGATCCGTCCCGCCAGTGCCCTTCAGCACTTGCTTCCCAACCTCCTTAGCTTCTGGATCTGCGTGCCGGAGTTCCGTCCTTTCACGAGCAGCAGGTGCAATAATATAGATTGCCACGATCTTGATATGCGCATCCCTAAACTGCTTCACCGACTGCACCGCAGAATTGTATGCGTCTAAAAGGTTTATATCAGGCCTCGTTTGCATTACGAACGTCCGCACAGGACGTGGGTTTGTGCTGAGGTGTCGCAAGAAATTGCGGTGGTGACGTGGCATGTAGATCTGCATCCTTCTCAACAGCGTCCGTTGGTCCGATGCAACGCCACCTTCGACCACATTGCAGTTGTCTAGACCAAGAAATATGTCTAAAGCATGAATCAGGGCGCTCTGCCCTGCGCTTGGCCCTGAGAGGTCGGTAGGCTGCTCTTCAACGCCTTCGAACACCCATTTCCTGTGGGCAGGATCGGAGTCTGCGCCACGGAACCATGGGCGAATGGAGTGATAAAACGTGTTAGGGTCGCAGCCCTTACGCACGTCGAGCAGGATGGTCTTAAGGTCGTGCACAACCGAAGCAAGCTTGTAGAGGTATGCGGTAATGCGCCTGATGGCTATCTTGTCGCCGACGAACAACTCATCCATAGTCGCACCCATAAGCTCGAGAGCCTCGACGCCGCGAAGCTCTATGCGGGCCGAAGCAAGGTAGAATTCTTGCTCATCTATGGTACCGGAAAACATGTCCTGGCTGCGAAGATTGTCCAGAGCGGGAGCCTCGAATCCAAGCTCCGTTTGGGCCCTAGGGTGGATAATGTCCCAATTATAGAGGACATTATCAGAGTACGTGACGACCGGTGGTAACTGCAAATGACTGGATATGGCGACGAGGGGGACAGAAATTGGTTCCGGAATAAGCACGGAAGAAGACAGGGGGAGTGTGTAAATGTAAAAATGCATAATGAAGGTGAGAACATGGTGCGCGCGCCGAAGTAGGAGCTCGGAGTTTGTGAGCTCGGACATAGGAAGGACAAGCAGCTGATGGTGTGTGTGTGTGAAGCGCGTGATAAAAAATACGGAGGCCCGTACTGACCTTTCGAACGTGTTCTCGCCATGACTCAGATGAGTTTTTCTCCTCAACTGTCAGACCTCGTTTGACAGAGAGCTGCAGCTTTGCTTGCATTGCAGCATCCAGTGTTGTCTCCCAGAGTTCCCATTGTGCTGGGAGTCTACTTAAAGGAGGATCTGGGGGCATAAAACCCGTGCGAGTATCAACATCGAAATCGTGCGCAGCAAGAGTGGAGGTATCTATGTGACCCTCCTGAACGCCGATAAGGAAGTCCTGACGAGGCTGGAGGAGGAAGTGATCAGGGGGTAGCATATCGGCTGACTGCTGACAGGACATTTCGTGATGGGGGAAAGTGATTTAATAGCAAGAATGTAGATATGAAAACGAGATTATATGGTACTCATAAGCTGTTGATCAACCACTGCCAGCGATTGCTCGTACTCAGGCTCTACGTATGATCCGGTGGTTCACGTAAAAATTCATTTTGATTTCTAAAAATTGATGACCAAATGCATCACGTGACCTGTAAGTTCTGGCTAATCATAATTCACATGTTGCCCCGGGCCAACTGGCGGTACCGTAGGGTAGCACTGTGTACAAGTTCTTCCAAAAAAAACCGATAGAACGGCAATTGGAAAAATTGTTCTTGTGTAAAGTAGCTCAAGATAACGGCAAATTTTTTTATCAAAGCTACTGGCGTGCTACACTGTCCTCAGATGCCCGCAGCCTCCATGCCTTGTGACCATGGTCAACCCAAAAAGTATTGTGAATGGTTTCGACTCTTCACTACATTTCTACTACTACCATCAAGGGTACACCAATCTGATGTCAAAAGTACATCACGGAGCCCCATCTGTTTGCTGATTAAATCCGCGCTCTTGCAAGGTTTAACCAGTGGGATCAATTCTGAGTGCTGTCAGACTGGTGAACGAACAAGTCAACACCCCCGTAAACTAAAAATTAACTTTGTCCCATTTAATATGCGGCCAACTGGTCATTGTGCGGGCATGATGTGAGCGATGGTTAGGGAAGTTAAGGGGGTTTATGGAAAAATCATAGGAGGTATACTAAATTATGTTTACTGTTATAAGATTTAGGTGAGTTTAGGTGACTAGGTTGAAAGAAATAGAATTTTCACTTTTAACTTTTGTCAACTTCTGCTTGATCTCCTTCTGGCGACTTGGCAATTGCAAATGATTGCCAGCAAATGGCGGTATTCTGCCAACGACGCTAAATTATTTGGTGGTAAATAATAATCCGAGTCAGCGGTCCATTGCTCACTGTGCCACAAGCATGAACATGCCAGGTCACAGATTTTCCTTTTGTTTGGGTAAATGTAGATAATAATTTGAACGAGTGGCCGGCCGGTGCGTCACGACAAGCAGAATGCAGCCAAGTCACTGCATTTTTAAGTTGTCGCGGTAGTCGACAAACGATGTTACGTGATAATGCCTTCGGTGACTGACGCGCTTGTCACGCGTTTGTGACACCACTTTCTCTCCAGCGATGGAGTCGACTCCGGTAACGCCTTCCCGACGTTCAAAACGCTTTCAACCGCTTGTAACTCCAGTGAAGATTGACGCCTTTGTAGACAAAACTTTAATCTGGACAGACGCCCCGTGTTACATTCGACCCACTGTATACGAAGATTACCAGGTTCTTCAAGAGGATGAGGGATGGCAACCAGGGCCAGGGATGCAGACTGCTTTTCGCAAATCATTCAAGCGGACGAAGAATACCGCGCCAGCTTCACGGAAAGGGTTGAGTGCACGTAGATCAGCTGTGGAGACTGAGACATTTGAGGTCGGAGACACTGTACTCGTCAAAACTCAGTCCACAAAACATCCCAGTGTTGGTGTCATCGCTTCGATGTGGGAATTTCAAGGCAAGGAGCATGGGGAGGGCGAAAATTCACAGATGATGATCAGGATTCACTGGTTTCAACATCCATCGGAACTGCCTCGCATAAGGGCAAAGAGGGAACATTTCGAGGTCAGTGACACATCTACTAATTGTCATCTGCTTATCCCTACCACCAGAACGAAGTGTATTTCACTCTCGCTTCACAAGCTATTCTTCCGCCTTCATGTATACTATCGCATTGCACTATCTCCGATGTTCCTCAGACCACACCCACAGCGCGCAAACGAAGTAACTGGGCCGGTGCCACTGCGGAGGAGAATAAAATATTCTACTGTCGCCTCGCAATTGAGTCTCGCAGCAACATTTACTATGATTTCCACTGGGAAGCACACAAACAACAGGCTCTCGGCAGTTCTAATGAAGACCTTGCCAATGGGACTTGCTGGCACGTTGCCGTAGAGACCACACCGTTAAGACGGCGTACGAAGAAGCCAAAAAAGCTTCAAGACATTGCGGAAGAAAGCGGTGACGATGTCGTTCGTGATCGTGACTACGAGAACGACGAGCCTCCATCAGAGCCTGATGACCACCTCATCCCCTCTGTCGTTGACGACGCCTCCGACAATGAGACAGCTCTTAGTGGACCTATCGATAACGTTCCAAAGACACCATCTCGCAAGCGCAAACGCGCCTTATCCACACCCAAGTCCACGCCGAGCAAGAAACGTGCACCGAAGCTCGCAGCACCCACTCCGCACTCCAAAGCGGCACTACGAAAGCGAAGTCGAAAAGCACCAGCCGTCCGTGTTCCCCCTCCGAATCTTACACAGGAGCACTACAATCAACTGCAAAACCTTCCTCCGGATCCGTGGCTTCGTGCAATGCACGTCCTCCATGTTGCAGCGCGTCCTGATGTTCTTCCGTGCCGTGAGGAGGAATACAGCCGCGTTCTGAGGACTGTAGAAGAACTCTTGGAGGAAGGAAGTGGAGGTTGCGTTTGTGTGTAGAGAGTATCATCCATTCTTTTTCACTCTTCTAATATCGATCTTTAGACATTTCTGGAGTACCAGGAACAGGCAAGACTGCAACAGTTCACGCCATTGTTCGTGAGCTCAAACGAATGGCTGAGAACAATGTCTGTTCTTTTCCAATTAGTTCTTCTTCTCACTCAATGATCCTTACTTGGTAGGAAACGAACCCTTTCACTTACGTTGAAATCAACGGACTCAGGATTCCCGAGCCATCTGCTGCATATAACCTACTTTGGGAGACAGTCTCGGGGCATGATGTAGCTAGCGATGGCCACCTCAAAACCAGCGCCAAGGAGGCGCTCAAGCAGCTTACTAAACACTTCTCTGCAGGTGCACGGGCGGGTCCCGCAGGGCACGCGTGGTAAGCAGTAGTTACCTTAACCAGTCGGTCATCGCTCAGTTGCGTGCCTAGCGTCGTTCTTATGGACGAACTTGATCAACTCGTCACGGCAAAGCAGGATGTAGTATACAATTTCTTCAACTGGCCCACAATCGCAGGCTCAAAGCTTGTTGTGATTGCTGTCGCAAACACCATGGACCTTCCAGAGCGAGTGATGACTGGACGCGTGCGCAGTCGACTTGGTACGTACCGTTAAATCAAGTACCCCACCTAATGCTCATTCATGTGCTGCAAAGGAATGATTCGAACCAACTTCCAGCCATACACGACACAACAGCTCGAGAAAATAGTACATGCACGTCTCAAAGAAGCCAAAGAGGGCCTTGAACAGCCACCGGACGTGATCAACGCCGACGGCGTAAAGTTTGCCGCAATGAAGGTCTCATCGATCAGCGGAGACGCACGAAGGGTACTTGATATTTGCCGGTACGTATCGAGCATGTTTTATAACAATAATACAACTGAACTCAAATGTAGACGAGCGGTGGAACTCGTGCATCCCAAACGGCGTGCCGCTCGTACGGAGGATGTGAAGGAGGTTATCAAAGTGCTGCAGAACAGCCCAACCGCAGCATACCTCCGAGACTGCAGCTTACATGAGCGGATTATGCTCGCATCCCTGCTAAGATGCATCAAGCGGGAGGGTATTGAGGAGATCAAATGGGGTGAGGTATGTGTTTTATTTTTATGTTTATTCCGCGGAGTGCTGGACTAACAGTACGTAAGATTGAAAACCAGCATATCGTATATGTTGAAGCCCTGACTTCGGAAGGAGATCCGTCGCGGAAACCCACGCCGGTGGAACTGGGACTTGTTCTGGACTCCCTGGTTGCCTCCCGCGCTATGATTATCGAGGATGGTGTGAATGCCGTCCGCAAGCCCCCCCGGGAACGCAGGGTCATTCTCAACTTGGAGCAGACGGAGGTAGAGAGAGTGCTGAGTGAGGTAGGCGGACGGTTGTGGGCGACAGCGCTTGGTGTTGGTGCATGATCAATATCAAAGATGTTTTTGGATCCGATTGACAGGATTCGATCTGTCAGCGTCACTGGCTGGGAACGTTCTTGAGGCCACCCTATCTCACCTATCTCATTAATATTGTACTGATAGCATCATTTAGATGTCATATAGATGTATTTCATATTCTCTGCCCTAAGCTAAGTACTGGTGTCTTTCTAATCTATTTTAAATCGGGGCTTTTATTTGATCAGCAGCAAGCTCCGAGGAAGTAGCACCGGTATCTCAAGCTTGAGATGCAAGTACCTCCTGCCAATGGGTTTCGGAAGTAAATCATCTACGAAGAAATGACGGTGCAGTCCTAGTCAGCACGTCGCCGATCAAATCTTAAGTGCTATCGTTGACGCAGACATCGCATTCATGATCTTCTAACAACCCCATCACGATCAGCGCTGCGCCGACTGAAGCAAATTAAGACTATCAAGGACTATCCGTCATCTCATCATCGCAGGTTGTAGGAGGCCGGCCGGGCAGACGTATTTGTAAACGACTTCTGAAACGCACGCTATACTCAGGTGTGACGTTTTTGGTAATCAACTGCACTGGCCCACCACAAAAATAATTTGTTTTTAATTTCTCTTGTTCTACAGTATCCCCTGCAGGGATAACCTCAGGATCTACGAATTCTGCCTCTACAAGCCGGGAGTTCACCTCTGTCCCTCGTTCCATCGGCAGGTGCTTCGTATCGTTCGTTGTGAGGCTTGCACTGGTGCGATGATACAGGTCATGGTAATGAAGTTATTCAGCTCGTAGATGCTTTTAAAAAAAATCGGATTTACTGTCCTTTGGGGTCGAAGACCTATCATATGTTGAACGTGGCTTCATTCGAGTGCAGGGGGGTTACTCCCGGTTTTTTTATCGTGGTTCGTAAATTCTTGTTCCTTCTATCGCCTCACAGATTCCTTTACTCCTCGTGTTCACTCAATAATGATCTTATTTCAATTTAATGGACGCCGACGCCCCGTGTCATAAGGAAGTACATCTAGGCAAGAGCTTCCTTTCATTGGCTGGCACTTTATGTCTGTCGGATGGAAAACGACAGCCAGTCATTTCGTTGGAAGAATTTCAATAAGCCTTGCTGATTTGTTGGTAGTAAGTACTAGTGAGTTGTCACGTTTGCATCATCAATATTAATCTCGATGAGAATAGATACGTCGTTCTATATCATACGCTAACGTATCTTCTAACTACAGTGTAATTTGGTATACAATCATCCAATGGTACAGTTGAAATTCCCAGATAGCGAGTAACTACGACACACGAACTCAGAAAGTGAATCATACTATTACAATAGAACAGCAGCGGAACAAGTGCAGTACGTACAATCACAGGGAACTCCCAGTATAATAAACGCTTGAGGCGTTGTCGTTGACGATGGCATCTAATCCGTGCTCTTTAAACGCCATCCTGAGCGCTGTTGATGGGCTGAAGAGCAAATTCGGTCGATTCGTTATCTCGTATCCCTCGTGAATACGTATCACAGGCGGCAAGGAAAGGCTATGCAGTCCCGTAGACTGGCGCCACTTGCTAGCCACTTGCCAAGGACGTTCCGATGCCTCCGGAAAGATATGAAGATAGTTTGACACCGGCTTGAATTTGAATTTGTCTGTGGGTGCCTCTGCAACAGGATCAATCTCAAGAACAAGACGATCCTGGAATTCCGGGTGTTCTGCCTGAGCGGTCACCGATAATTGAGAGATAAACTCTCGATGGGACTGAATTTCAGCATCTTCGATCTTGGCTAAAAGGAAGAGGCTCCTCCTGATATATCGTGAAGTATTCGGGCCTGTGAATGTCTCAGTATGCAAAACGCGTGAGATCACGTAGGAAGACGCGCCGATGGCAGCTTTGAGGTACTTGCACGCCATACGATGACCCTGGTCCCAATCTATGTTCTGGCATTGTCTAGAACAATACCTCGCAACTGTGCACCTGGAACACTGGAATAAATCCCATTGCGGATGCCATTCGTCGCTGTTCTGCAGAATGAGGGGCTGATTAGCAACAACAGCCTAGAGGGGGAAAGTATATGATTCACTCACATGCACAGCAGCGCATTGACGATCGAAGAATATCGATGCTGCGGGTATCTGGCTTCTAAGGTCCAAGAAACGTCGAACATCTTTTTTGAACAGATTCCAGGCCTGTAGTAGGTCTGTATCACGCTGAGCAATCGCATCTAGCGATTTCTCGTCAGCCTCTAGCTCGCTCCCGGCGATCCGCAAGACCTTGTCGAACGTGAGGTATGAACGAAGGGCAGTAATCAACAATGCATTAAGGCATTCTGCCGTATCCGCACCGGGAATACAGGTATGAGCTTGAAGGATGGTGGGGAGGAATCGCGCCCGAAGGGCTTGACATATAACGGCTACAAGGTCATCCACAGGACCTCCCATGAGTAATGCAATATAGCCTAAAGCATCCTCAAACGCCTTCTTGACGTGTTTGGCGAAGTCATCGTGCTTCAGGGTTAGAGAGAGTTGACATAGATCACGAAGGGTGTAGATAACGATGGCCACGAGGTTTCTATCGATGTAGGCCTCTCGCAAGGCGCAGTTCTGTTGACTGGTAACGAATAGTAGGTTTGCACAATTCCCAAAGCAATTAATGAGCATTATTTGCCAACGAGGCACCCCAAAGACAGAATCGCATGAAGCTGTATCGTCGATGCTTTGTCCAGAAACGACCTTCTTCCTGTACAAACAACGGATATTTCTGAGATATTTGGAGGTAATAGAAGCCATGGCTCTAATGCCTCCAGCGACATGAATAAGGGTGGACGCAAAAGCAGGACGATCGACATCCAGACATGCCTGTACCACGTATGACATGTGCTCCTGGAATGCCCCTTGTTCCTTGCTGCCCATTACCTTGTCAGCTTCGGTGAGAAAATCATTATCCTTTGAGGTGACGGCCATGCACCAGAGCTGCGAGATAATGGGGTGTAGAGATGGTGTGTTGATGAGTGACTGTGGTGTTTGTGAATCACCGATTAGGCTCATCCGCATCAACATGTTGACAACTAGCTTCAAAGCTTCTGATCTAGTTATAAGAAGACCCGGAAGGCGGGCAGGGTTGCTGGAGGCGAAGAAATGACGATAGAAGAAATTGACCCAGAGATGACAGCGATTCCAATTGGATATTAGGGTGTCAGCGATGGTCTGTATCGACTGCGTTAATTCTCTTGGATGATTGACGCGATTCAGTGTGACCAGTACTCCTTTAAGGGAGTACCTTGCGAGCATGACACTCCTCACATCCCTCGAAGTGACCACATCGGGGATGCGAGCTGGATCAAGGTGGTGATAGAAGACTGGGAGCAGTATCAGAAGTTGCTCTGGTTTCCAATGTTGTGCGATGTTGCACAGTCCGTCGAGCTCCTTGATTGACCCGCTGGCAGCTTTGTTGATCATGAACTATCAAGACAGGAGACAATTAACCCGAGTAAATGCAGAATCGTGGGCATATTCTCGCACACACCTGTATCACTCGGGCAAATGTATGGCCATCTTCAGGTTGCCTTTGAGGAGGGGCGGACGACATGGGGATGTTCACACAAGCACTAGGGCGCTCATCGATGCACACGTTCGTCACGCGACTGTCACGTAACGCTGTGTCATGTTACTTACCAGAACAGCAAAACTGACAATACACTTGAGCAAAAAACATAGTCTCCAATAAATTCCTCTTCCTGTTTTTCCATTGTCAATGACTTATGAGCGTAAAGATACAAAGTTCATGATGTAGACTGAGGTTGCGCTTCAAGTGTAAGTGAAGGTAGACGTGAAGGTATATGTAACAGTAACAGGATGTGTGACGGTGAAATCATGCCCAGTTATCGATAAGAGAATCCCGCATCTCTCCAATGACAGCTGAAGAACTTTGTCCTTGAAGCTCTGTGATAGTAAAAGACGTTGAAAAGGTGAAAAAAGGAGGTAAGATGTAGACCCACTGAATGCAGCTTCGATGACACTGATCTCTGTGGCGGTAGTGTCAAGCCCAGTAAACGCGCACCAGTCGTTCACGACAAGACCTCCACCGATAACGTCTGAACCTCGGTTGACAGTACCAGCCTAGAAACACGAGAGTAATTGAGTTACAATACGGCTGCGCTGGGCTTCCTATAAATACGCACCACGAGGGGAATTTGCAGAAGGCTACTTAGTTCATCCTGGTCCTGAACACTCGTCTTTGGATGAACAAGTCCACCCTGATTTGAGATCGCACAATAGCTTCCCACAAGGACGTTATCTGCGACGGTCTGCCTAAAAACCTCGACCTTGAGCACATCAGCGATTATTTCTTCTGTCTCGCGATCAACGTCAGGGTGGACGAGGGCAACGTAGTCGTTGCAAGCGATAACGTTTCCCAGAGCAGATAGACGTTCTTCGATTCGCTGGATCGACACAGCGTCAGGAAGAGAGTTGCGTAGATGCTGCAGTTCTTGATCAGTCGTTGTTGAAGGGACGAGGAGACCATGTCTATTTCCTACGATGCGCATCAGCCTTGTGGGTGATTATGAGTAAAACCATATCACAAACCTGCAGTCAATCTCCCGACGATGCGGGTGCCGCCGATCGTAGAATGTACGATGGGAATGACTTCGCCAAGTTCAGCCTCAAAGGCCGAGTAGAAGTTTGCACTGCCTTGGATTGCAGCTAGGCAGTAGCTGTTGGTGAGTTTTGAGAACACGCCGATTTCACTACTGTTTTCGAATTGGATACCTGTAATGTGTGTTCATGGAACGCATAGATTACACATCAATAAAAACACTCACGAGTTGCCATGGTTGGTTGGTTGTTGAGGGGTTGGAGAATACTAATCTACAGAAGTTATAAGAAGAAGATAGAATATAAGCAGAAAAGCTGGTACTTGAGATCCGGAGCTTGTGAGTTATCTGAGTGCGTGACTTTTGAAATTTTTTATAAGGCTAATCTACAAAATATTGACGAGTCAATCGTAATCAGGCTGGTCACCGACGGCCCACGGCGGTTCCGCTTCCCTCCCGGACGCTATTTTTACTCGACGCCTACCCGATGACTCAAATTGCTTAACCGAACTCCACTGCAAATTGAGATGTTCCGATTTGCTACAAGGTATGGTTCAAATGGACTGTCTTTGTGGCTCAGGCAGTCAAATTGCCGTCACGGACTCAATGCAAGGACTATCCTGCATGCCCGTAGGATCTCTGGACATTCCTTCGGTCCTCCGACGGATGTCGAGAAAATAATGCTGGACAGTGTCAAGGTGAGGACTTCGACCGTGCAACTTCTCAAAGATGGGTCTCATAAAATGAAGGCAACAGGTCCTATATCATTCTCGACGTTCATGCAACTTAGTCTTGGGCACCCCACGCATGGGTACTACATGAAGCCGGAACATGCTGTCTTTGGCACTCAAGGTGACTTTATCACCAGTCCTGAGATTAGCCAGATGTTTGGCGAGGTGAGATTCGCGCCATCGCTTATATCACATATTGACAACGCGAAATGCGTTACAAGTAGCTTGTCGCGTTATGGATGATAAAGCAGTGGATGGATACCGATGTTAAAATGTCCTTCCGAGTGGTAGAACTTGGACCTGGTAGAGGGACGTTAATGGACGACGTACTTCGGGTGAGTGATGTTGAACGCGTGGTTGGTTGCGTCTCACCATGTTTCTTCCAGGTTTTGAAACAGCTTCCTGCAGCACGCGGTAAACTGAAGAGTATTCACCTTGTCGAGAGCAGTGCGACTATGCGTGCTTTGCAGGAAGGCAAGCTTCGTAAGGCTTCTCAGGAAGGCAATTTCCAGATAATGTGGCACGACGGAATCGAAGAGATTGAGCCAGAGGAAGACGTCTTTACTATGCTGGTCGCTCATGAGTTTTTCGATGCCCTTCCCGTGAACGTCATCGAGGTGAGTTCCGTCCAGAGACACGAACATTTACTTTACTAACGGTAATCATAGAGAACTCAACAAGGCTGGAACGAGGTGCTAATCGCCCCCTCGAGTGATCCGAGCATCAGATACACCATACCCTCCTCGGACTCGGACCAGAATTTAGACACTCCCCCAACATTGCATCATACCTCTTCACGCTGGACCCGTGTTCTTTCGCCAACTCCGACGGCATCGTCGACCCTCCTCGGACTTGCATCTCCTCGGTTTTTTTCGCTCCCTGTGGGAACTCGCATAGAAGTATCCAGAGCGTCCATGAATCAGGCACGGGGTATTGGGAAACTTATCAATACCAAGGGCGGAGGATCCGCACTTGTCGTCGACTATGGTGCAGACAGAGCCTTTGGTGATTCCTTGCGGGTAGGAACTCAAACGCATGCACCGAATTCTAACCAATAACCATTCACAGGCCTTCAAAAAGCATAAAATCGTCGATATCTTCTGCAGTCCCGGAGAGTGCGACGTTACGACGAATGTCGATTTTGCGTTGCTGAAAGAGTCTATGGCTGACCTTGGTACGTCCATAATAGTGCTCTGCTACATGATTATGGACATTCAAGATGTACAGTCTCGACACATGGTCCTATTTCCCAACGCAACTTCCTCACATGCATGGGCATAGAAATCAGGGCTGCTGCCCTTGTGCGCTCAGCTTCCTCTCTAGAGAGGAAAAAGGCGATCGAAGATGGCGCAAATAGGCTCATTGATCCCTGTGGGATGGGTGAACAGTACAAGGTGTTGGGAGCTGTTGCGAAAGGTAGGGGCGAGATTTGGCCATTCGCTGTCATCCAAGATAGTGCACAACAATCTATTTAATTGACAAATAGGTTTATATATACCACACGAGTACATACATAATAAATACATCCCATGGTGAGGGCCTGAGAATCAACAGCCTACCACGAAAACGCAATAAAATATACCACCGAGGAGCCTACGATTTATGCGTAGTGAGCCTTGATGATATCTGCCAACTTCTCGGCTGTCGCAATAACTGCACCAGTCTAAATCTTTGTCAGCTTCCACGGTCATCTTTCAGAGCTTCCACATACCGGGTGTCCTGAGACCAATTTAGGGAAAATACTTGCATCGCACACCCGGAGCCCCTGAGTGCCCTTGACACGCAACTCCGAGTCCACGACACCGCCAGCTCCCATCGAACACGTCCCTACCGGGTGATACAGCGTCTCCACACGGTCTCTAACAATATCCGCCAGCTCTGCGTCGCTTAGACTGGAGATGTGATGGTCAAGTTCAGGGTGGTGTGTGGCGTTCACGTCGGTGATGGAGGTCATGGGCGCTGTATGTGCGATTTTAAGAGCAGCGCGGATACCTCGAACGAGTACGTCGACATCGTGTTTTGTTTCGAGGTAGCTGGCCCGTGATAGTAATAAGTACAGAGTGAGTTTGAAGTAAACGGGTCAGCCTACCTGGGGTCCATGAGCGGATCATCCCAAGGGTCGGCAGACTTGAGAAAGAGCGAACCTTTACTTGTAGGACTAGTAACACAGAACGTCTCAGTCGAGTTTCAAGTAGAAACATTGATGGCTTACCGTAATAAGGTAACGATCATCTGATATGCCTGGAGCTTTGGGCTGAGTGGTATGGTGTGCGTGCGTACTGCGCCGGCACACATGATGATCTCGATATCGGGTGCATCTGGACCTGAATTGGCGTCTTCGATGTCGTTGTTGTACTCAGCGGGCGGGAAGAGCACTTGGTCGTCTGATCGGAAGAATGCTACAGACTCGCCAACCTATGATACTATTCAGTACTGGTGATGTGAGCACAAGGAAGGCTTGACAAACATTAGAAGCGAGTGGGCCGGTGCCCCACAGTTTATATCGCAGCAAGTCGCGTATAAGCAAGCGCGTGCTGTTCAAACTGTGAGGCGTAAAATGGTGAAACGTGGTTCCAGTTTTGTCCCTGAACCGGAGATTGATTGATGGGTGATCCAAGAGGTTAGCCCCGACGCTGGGAACATCGAGCACGACCGGGATGTTGTGACGTAAAAGCTGCGCAGCTGGACCAATCCCAGAAAGCATCAAGATTTGCGGAGAGTGGATGGCACCACCGCTATGAAAAGGTAAATAGCCGTTTGGGGCATATCAAGCGATCCCGCACCAGACAATGACTTCCTTGGTCGCTCGTGCACGGAACTTGGGCCCGACTTTATCCATATGAGATTTGCTGGCAAACTCGACACCAGTGGCACGTGGAGTGCCACCGGATGTGTCAAAGAGAACCTTGGAAACACGCGCGTGGGTGACGACTTTCAAATTCGGACGAGCAAGGACGTCGTCAGTGAGGTATGCAGACTCAGTGGTTACACGAGTGCTCTTGCTGTCGATGTACATCACTACGTATCAATTGTTCAGCACTTGTTGATCCTGACAGTCAGTGCTAATGAACTCACTGATCTGTGCCATATTAACAATGAATGACCAATGTTAGTGAACCTCGAACAAATCGGCAGAATCTGTAAAGACTCGCCTTATTTGTCCCTTGCGTTCCCTTGGTCGTACAAAAATCGGGTGAGAAAGGGATACCAGCGTTGATACTTGCCTCGACAAAAGCTTGGGCACCTGGCCATATGTGGGGGCTGTACTTAATCTCAACAGGCCCATTGGCACCGCGGAGGAGCGGATCAACGTGTGGGAAACGCGGGTCTGGGGTGTATTTCTCAAACTTACGAATATACCTGAGCAACAAAGTTATCGGAAGTGGGGAGAAGCGAGAAATGAACTACGTGCTTGCTAAAATTGTTCCACGACCAGGATTGGTCGCCGGAAATTAGCGCCCACTCGTCAAAATCGGACGGTGCGCCGTATTGTGCACTTAAGACGTAATAGGGATAAATGAACCTGCGAGAAGATGCATTATGACTCACATCATGGCATTCATAGCAGAGCCTAAGGAACATTAAAATATTTCCTTACCAGGAGAACGACTAGGAGTACTCACATCCTCCGAGAAGTTTAGCTGCACATACGGGGATCAGTATAACAACTGGGAAGTCGAGGAATACCGTGACGACGTACCGCGAGGCCAATATTTTTTCTTATTGCCTGCGTATTGCTGAGGCTCGGTATAAAGATGGTAGTCCCATTGACTGCGCATTAGTTTCGCGAACGCAACAGGTATCTTGCTTATATCGACATCTTTAGAGCTATGAAGAACTTGAGCATGTCAAAAGTAGATAATAGCCTCAAAGATGCTGACCTTCCACCAGCCTCGATGAGTAGAACGCGCAGGTTTGGGTCTTCGGAGAGACGTGAAGCGAGAACACATCCTGCTGTGCCTGGACACGTTCGGATGATAGGAAATGTTGGCTACTACTAGTGTGGAATGTAGAATGTGTCATACCTCCTCCAACAATGATGAAGTCCCACTCATCAACCTCGGCTCCATTGTCATTGACTTTCCTTGCTACTTTCGCGTAGTCCGTTATGAGTTTTGGTTGTTTCGCGGTGAGGTACCTCAAGACGATCGTTAACGCCACTACGCTCGCTGCTGCACCGAGAGAGAGCCTAGTTGGGGTGGCAGAGCGAGCCTGAATAGCTTCCAGAACGCCGAGCAGCTTCGCAAACGCGTCTGTATGGATCATGGTAAAAAGTTGGAAGGAGTCAGAGGAGAACGGAAAATACTTGTAGCCCTTCGGCAAGCCAGCTCACGGTCCCGGATCTGGATCTGGATGAATACATCATGGCATAGCATGGCATGTGAACATCACTACTAGTACTGACATTCATCCGAGCTATTACCGACTCGTTCCACGGTATCGATCGATAGCCGATTCGTGACCGAGGCAATGTCTTACACTGACAATCAAAAAAAAACGTGATAACAACGTGAATAACTAGGCTACGATGCATGCGTCATCCAACGGAACCAACTCGTGCCTGGGTATTAATTTTGACGGCAGCCCCCGGATCCTACTCTCAACCTAGCCTTTTGCGCTCGGGCCTAAACACTCGTTGAATGAGTACTGTGACTAGTGCTGCATGAGCAAAAGGCAAAAGAATGGCATCCAATTGGGCTCTGTTCAGATGGATGCATATGCATGTGGTCCATGGTCAGTTGCAAACCCCCTTTCAGCTAGACAATCGAAGATGGTCATCAGATCAGTGCACCGCCCATGCAGCGTGACTAGACCAGGAACTTCATTCTTATCTAAACTTGCTCTAGAATTCGAGAAAGCCTCATTGCATAGTTTAAAATTGCTGCACCAACTTCTTTTATCTAATGATAGTCCATAGCTGTACATTATAAGTAGTCTCCCTCCACCTTGATGCATAGCATGTTTTTTTTTTCAAAGATAGTCTAGCCAAGCTCCCGAACCCTATCAGGCCCGTAGTATCAGGCTCGTGACTAGTGCTTGCATTTTAGTGCTGTGTCGGTGGCTGTGCTCCGAAGAACCACCGTTTGCGGGTCACGACCATATTCCACCGCCCTCTGCAAGCTTTCCGTTCGACTACTCATCGTGGCCCGTGCTGGCCACCTTTCAACGCTTATTTCCTCTCGCCTTCTTCTCAAGAACACAACAATCCCGCAGGAGTAATACCCTCCCTATCTCTCAGTCTAGGCATAGCCCCCCTCAAACTTCAAACATGCCTTCAGACAGCCCCCCGCCAACCAAAGCCGGTCTTCTCAAGTGGTGGACTCAATTCACCCATGCTCAGAATCGCAAAAAAGATTCCGACCCGAGTAGAAGTCTGTACTATTCTGACTTCCGGTTCATGACGTTGACTAATGCCAATCAATTATTCAGCTCTAGATCAGGAGGAACATCCGGTGTTTCAAAAACCACTCAAAGAGAGTCTGAGATATGCAAGCGTGCAGATTTCGACTGCAAATGCAAATGGCGAGCTCTACATTTGGGGGTACATACCTGTCGTTGTGGCGAAATGGTGAGTGGAGCTGCCTTGCACCATCTTGACTAACTGTGTACCCTGACTCCTTTAGTGGCCTTTATCTCAAAGAAAATGGTGGGTACTGCTGTGTATAGTGTGAACATTAATTCAAACGTTCTACATCTATCAGCTACAGAGGTGGAGGGGACGTTTCGTGTCAACGGTTCTACTAAGCGCATGCGAGATCTACAAGCCGCTTTCGAGACACCGCCACGGGTGCGTACATAATGCTCCTATATAGCGCTATGAGATTCAATTGGTGTATTATTTTCGCCATCAGTACGGAAAATCGTTGGACTGGAAAAATGAACACTTTACAACACATGATGTCGCAAGCGTCTTTCGTAGATATTTAACCCAAATGCCTGTCAGTGGCGCTCCACGTTCCGTGCCGTGCCTACTCATGCCCCACTCAGGAACCCGTAATACCACACGATATGTATCACGACGTGAGTGTATGCTACTTCCTTTATTGATCGGGGCTGACGTCTCAATCAGTTCCGGGACGTTTTGGGTAAGAAGTCCTGACAGCTTGATGCACAAGCTGAACTCGGGCCTGTGCAGGAAAGAAACCATTCAACCATGATGAAGTGATTGCAACGTACAAGCGTCTAATTCAACGTATGCCCCGCGCCAACCAATACCTTCTTCTCTACGTATTGGATCTATTATCAGTATTTGCACGAAAATCAGATAAAAATCTTATGACAGCCACAAGTACGCCACGCCCCTCTGCGATTAACTTTATCCTCATCTCCCGCGCAGATCTCGCGGTAATCTTTCGGCCCGGCCTTATATCCCATCCTACCCATGAAATGTGCCCTGGGGAACATGCGCTGAGCCAACGTGTCCTCGAATTTCTCATTGCGCAACAGGATTGGTTCTTACTCGACATACCACCGCCACCACGATCGGAGCAGGGCTCTTCGTGGAAGCCTCCACCGCGGCCCCACCACGCACACACGCAGGTGCCAAGTGAGGAAGACTCGGATCTTGTTGTTGTACCTAGTTCAGATGACGAGCCTACGTCAATTACTGGGGGCTGGAAGCTTGTCGGCCGTGACAGACGCCGCATTTACAGGCGCCGCACAACGCTAGAACACACTGGTGGGTCATTCCTGGGGGCCGCGTCTCAATTGGACCGCCGCTGAAGTCGGAGGGCACCCTTTTGTGATTGTGCCACATTTTTCCCTCAGGTTCGCTCGACAGAACAGATGACGTTGATGGTGGGCAATTGTCGCCTGTCCTGGAGACCCCAACATCCCGCCCTGTAAGCCAAGCTTCAGGTCCTGCAGTGAGCCGAAGTCGGACGCTGCCCTCCAATCGAGGAAGCACGGACGACGAGAAACACCGTGCTAGGGTGCTCAGAAAACAGAAGCGAGCATCAGCTCAGCCGCGACCTGGGGGCCATGCGGGAGGGTAGGATGGGTGAGATGTGGGTGAAATGGAGTCACATCTGGAAGTTTGTGATATTGATATACTTCGAGGCGGGCACGGCGTTGTTGTGCCGAGCTCCCGATCGCCCATTTGTTGTTATTGTTTTTTTCTTTTCCTTTTTACCGGTTTGGACAATTGCCATCTGAGTTTTCTATGTATACTTTAGGGCTACTTACTTGGGGAGATAACAAGGACACATGCCGCCGACCGTCGTCCAGGTTCGGTCAGGGCAGATATTAACATAAATTCCGCAGCATCTAAATTTATCTACCTAAGGAAAGATTTGCACCACAATAAAGCCGGGAGCACCCGTTGCCACAAGCCTGGGTAGGCCGAACAAGAAAAGGCAATCCTTATGGCCTCTTGATAGGGCATGTTAGGGCGCGTTCCAGGTGGGGCCGCAGGAAATTAAAGAAGTCAGGGAAACCAGCTGTCGTTTCCAGTTTCAACGTTCCCTTAGATCTCTTCTGTTACCCTTGACTTGCAAAAATGCAACAAAGTGGGTACTCGAGCTCGATGCAACAGGTAGCGCCCTACAGGGACACCCCGACGACCTCTACTGGCACTCCAAACGACCCATCATCAGGCCTAGTAAGAACCCGTTACCATTCATTGTGATATTGTTGCAATTCATATACATATATGTGTCTGGTCTGAAACCCGAGTTCGCTTGGATTTCTTCGTTTAATTGTTTCCGTTTCCGTTTCAGTCTCTTTTCGCTTGCACCTCTCATCTTTCTCTGAACTAAATTTCTACTGCGCAGGCCACACACGCTCGTTCACCCTTCGACTCGTCGCACGATCTTTCATCGGAGCCTACGCTCAGGAATCCTCCAACAAACCAACCACAGCCCGTGCCCTACATGTCCGTCCCACAACCAGGTTACCAAAACATCGAGTCCCGCAACAGCGACTGGCTGGAGCAGTCGCAGAAGGCGAGCAAGCGGTCAAAACGGATCGTGAGTTTCACTCTCAACCTATGTAGTGCTCTTTAACAACGTCCTGCTGGAAAGGTCATTGGTTCGGTTGTTGCCCTCATCATTCTAATCGCTGCCGGTATCGCACTCGGCGTCACGCTCTCGAAAAAGAACTCAAGCAACAACTCGAGTTCGAGTGCGAGCAGTAGCGTCCCAGCTGGGACGAACCCCAACGATCCGAGTAACTTCCCGAAAAACTCCGCTTTGGTCAATTCGTTCTATGGCATTGCGTATACGCCACTGGGCTCGCAGCTCCCCGACTGTGGCAATAATCTAAGTGTGTGAAATTGTGTTATCTTGGTTGGAACGTGTCTAATGTACAGCAGCGGAGGTCATTGAAGATATCCAGGTAGGTCTTTCGAGGGATCTTTCCGAGCGCTTCTCTTACACAATCTATAGTTGTTATCTCAGATCACAACGGTGGGTGTTTCGATGGTGTCTTATATGCCATACACTCATTCTCTAATCGCTAGACCATCCGTCTTTATGGTGCTGACTGCAATCAATCCTCTCTCGTCGTAAGTTATCGTGGGGGCTACTTTTGATGTGTTTATCCATACTTGTTTGCAGCTTGCCGCCATCCAGGCTACCAAGGTCAACATGTCTGTCTATCTCGGCAACTACCCCGATGCCACCGATAATGGGGCTGCATACACGCGCCAGAAAGGCGAAATCCAGACTGCTCTTCAACAATACGGTGCAGCCAACGTGGCTGGTGTTACAGTCGGCAATGAATTTATCCTTGAGTTAGCATTCGTTTCTGAATTTCAAACTGTTGGCTAAACCGCCTGTCAGTTACATCACGAACGCAGGGCAGACGGATCCCAACGGCTCCGCAGGACAGGCAGGTTGGCTCATGGTTTTCTTTCCTGCTGAAACGAATTTCCAATTATTTTGTCACAGCCGCAGCGATGTTGGTACCCTGGATCAGCGATACTCGTTCAATGTTGTCCTCGATGGGTATGAGCAATATCTTAGTCGGTAATGCAGACGCTGGAAGTTATTTCAACAACGAGGTGCTATCTGCCGTTGACTATGGGGTTGGTATCCCTCTGTATATATGTTTAATGTCTACTTACGTTGTGCAGATGGCGAATGTCCACCCGTGGTTCGCCAATCAATCGATTAATGACGCTGCCGCCTGGACGGCCGACTTCTTCAACACCACGGACTACGCTCTTGCTCAATCTCTTTCGAACAAACCGAAGATGTTCATTGCTGAGACTGGCTGGCCAACTGTCTGTTTGCTTTCTCCTTGATCCCTGACTCGTTTAACTTGTCTTACAGGGTAGTTCTTCTTTCAATGCCAACCCGAATGATGGGCCTTCGCTCGCTTCGGTGCAAAACCTGCAGGTGGGATTCATTCTCGCTTCGTTATGACTTAATGATTGCTAATTTCATACTTGCAGATATTTATAGATACTTTCGCATGTCAAGGTATGCGTTTCTTCTCACAGGGAACAAGGACAATAATAGCTCAATGTCACGTCAATAGCTACCAAAAACGGAACTGGATACTTTTTCTTTGAGGTGCGTATTCGGTCTCCCGACGTTTTTAATTGTGCTCACTGCCATGTACGACAATAGTTCAGTGACGAGCCTTGGAAGGTAAGCTTGCACTCGCAATATCCAGGGGCAGGATCTGACTTTGCCTTGCAGAACGTAACGTATGGTGGTGTAGAGGTAAAGTTCAGATATTTTTGGTTTCGTCATGGCGATCTAACCCTTACTCGCTAGGGATACTGGGGCTTGTTCGACGCCAAGTAAATTTTCACACCACGTTACCTGTCTGCGGCGCTAATGTTTTTTGATAGCAAAAACCTGAAAAACATCACGATTCCCACATGCTAGTCTGTTCTTTCTGGCTCGGACACATACTCTATGCGGACTTCATTACCAACATATTTAAACCTTAGCCATGGCACTCTTTTCACCACTTAGCCCTTTATCCATCCCGTTTTTCATTCTTTCTGCATGCGGCGGTGGATGGGCTGGTGATCTTTATTGAACGTTTACTTCGAAAGGACTATGCTATGTTGCATCTTTATCTGCGATTTTGTCATCTAGCTTTGATTGACTGACGTTTTTGACGATGTATTTAATACCCGTACCAACTGCTGAGCATTTAGCTCATGCACATGGGTCGGTGGTGGTTCATATGAATTGCCATGCCAGCCTCGACCCTTGTGTGATTGAACCGTGATTTCAAGGGCCGGACTTTGTCGGCGGGGACCTTGGTGACTATATTGTAACCTTTATTACTACGCAGCATTGGACATTTGTGTCATACTTATCTTTAACGTGTCCTGCCTTGATCCCCCATGCCCTCAGGGCCCTGAGCGCTTATTCAAGGGCATTTAGCGCAGTGGTAGCGCGTATGCTTTGCATACTAGCATGTATAAGGTCCAGAGTTCAATCCTCTGAATGTCCATTTTTTTGCGGTGAACTGGTAGATCGCCATGTGGAACTTGACTTTGTTCTTGGTGTTTGAGACTCTTGTGTGTGATCAAGCAAGGAGATATGAAGATCGAAAAGTACTTGACAAACAAGTGAGACCCATATGATACAAGTATGGCGGTGCCGCGGGGATAAAAAAACATCCGCATGAAACATTACAATGCATTTGAATCTTATTTCAAGGTCGTTCACCAGTAAACGAGAACAACCTACTTAAATTCAATAGCTGACAGAGAAACGACGGAGGTGCCCGTCTGTGATTGTGGGGTATTGACGAAGATTAATGGGGGAAGACACTGGCAGAGTTACGATATGAGAACGACCCCTTTAAAATGAAACAACTGACCACCTGTGATCGTGGGGTATAAAGACTGATTAATGTAATAATCACTTGAACATCATACTGTTGGAATGATAAATACTTTATACCAGCGCTATCTCGATCTAATACAGTTTTTCAAATCAAAGTTACCTAGGCGGAGACAGACCAGCGCTGAGTATCGATATGGGCCGGGGTTTGAAGCTTGCTAGTGAGTGCGACCCTATCAGAGCTAATCGATTGATGAGTGTGCTGATGGAAAGGAACATCGTGTAGGTAAAACAACACATGTTGATACAGAGTTGAATTAAACAAAACGCGTGTGCTTTGCATTTGCCTCGATGCATGTCTCATTTTCCGTTGTGTGGGTACGAGGGTACTGACAAGAGACAGGGGTTAGAGTACGTGTCTTGCCACGGGATAAAGCGATGAATAAATTTATGTCATCGCCAGTTATCGCCAGCTTCGTTTGAGAAAGCGAATAGCTTTTCATGGAGGAAAGCATGGCTCGACCAAGACTGATTATCACGGAAGTTCCATATCGATGAACACGCTGCAGTAGATAGAATTCACGAAATTAATACCTTGGTATAGCGTTTTTATCGGTCTAGAGTATTACGTAATCACGTGACTTGTATACAGTTTTTGGGGGAGTTGACGCCTGAAACCAAAAAAATTAAATACACTGGGGAGTACCAGGCCTATAAAGCAAACTTCTGAACCCTGTCCTCTTTCTTCCACTCCCCTCCTCACGTCGTTTCCGACGTCCATCGTATCCCTCCAAAATGTCAGTCCAGAACGGTGACGCCGTTCACGAAAACCAATTTGCTACCCGTCCACTAGTAATATCCATTGCAAATGTTAGAGTACGCGTCATTTTTTCATGGCATCTATCTCTTGTTGAAATTAGCTTTTCAGGTGTCCATTCCCGTCTCTACCCAAATAGACGAGTGGATCGCTGCTGAAGTCCTTAGAGATGACTTCATCTTGTCGCAGGAACGCGTCGATGTCGCTGGCACCGTCGCTGACCCAGAACGCCCATTACAAGCCAACGTAGATATCTTCGCACGTTTCCTCGCTTTCATTGCACAGAGGACTTCCGATACATCAGACTGCGTAAAGGCACGCATCTCTCTACTCGCTCGCGTGTTCACGCATTTCGTCTCCTCATATCTTACCGATACCGACCTCTATTCTTTTGTAAACCCGTTCGATACCGAGGTCCGCACTGGAATTCTCGCAGCTTACTTTGCTGCACGTGCTACCCTAGAGAACCATAATGTTGCAGATATTGCCGCTCCCCCTGCTTCTGCCCTCCTCACAGCCGCTGATGACTCCGAGGCATCAATGTATGCGCTTTTTGGCGGTCAAGGGACCAACGAGGTCTACTTTGACGAACTTCAGTCCTTGTATGACATCTACAAGCCTTACGTTTCCCCTATAATTACGTCCATCACAAATGACATTCTCCTTCCCCTCGTCTCATCCCGCCAG